ATCTCTCCGCGAGCTGTCGCCAGCTCGCCGAAAAGGGAGCGGACATCCCGCTCGACCTGAAGCTGCGCCGTGGCATAATCGGCGCGATCCCTCGCCCGATCAGCCTCGTGACCCTTGCGGTTCTTCCGCACGGTGTCGGTCAAAGCGTAGCGTCGGTCGCGCTCGTGCTTCAAGTCATCGCGCAATTCATCGATTGCGCGATCCATCTCGTAAGGGTCGAGATGGTGAACCGAATCATCTGGAGGAGGTCTTTCCTCCTCCACCACATCCTTTGGTGGATGCTCACGGTGATCAACGCTTTCTAGTGGAGCGTATCTTGAATCACCGTGACGATTCAGGATCAAGGACGAGCTACCTCGTCCAGTGGCGGGGGTATCCACCCTCTTGGAACAGCTGGGACCCCCGCTCTCAGCGGTTGATGGATGTTGAAGGTCTCGTCCGCCAGTATGACGAGACCCATCCGATTATTCCTGTGGCCCATCGGTAAACACGCGCCCTAGGCGCTTGTAGACGGATTGCAAGTTTGCAATCGCGTCACGCATCTCGTCCGAGAGATGTGCCCTTCCCCAGGGCGAATTTAGGGAATACACATCCCTATTTGCACGCTGCGAGTTGTCAACACAACTCGCACAAGGGTCTCCCCATGTGAGGCAAGGAATGCCTGCCTCACTCGATAAACAATGCAACCGGTACATAGCACCGGTTGGCGTTCGCCTTTCGAACCTGAGGCGTGTCGCCTCAAGTTTCTTGAGCCACCCTTCTCGTCCAAAATTCTTTACGTTTTGGACGAACGCGCTCCACGCAGCCAAAAGCGAGGCCTTGTCACGCTTTTGGTTGCTGTTGTATCATCGATGTCTAAGGAAGACATCGAGATAAAAATCTTCTTCAGCGCGAAAGTTCTTCGCGCTGGGATCCAAGCCGTGAAGCTCAGTCGCATCGAATAAGGGTATTCGATGGTGTTGGCCTGTCTCGTGAGACAGGCTATTGATGAGTTGTTCGGGCAAACGCCACGGCTTCAACTCATCACGCTTCACAGTGGTACCCTTGTCGGTACCACGGCTCCCAGATTGACGACGGCTCGCGCCATCGTCATCACGCTCGTGCGAAGACGCACGAGCCGGCGGTGGTGAAGAATAGAACTCACCACCCTGATCATCGTCATCACTGCCGAACAGACTGTGATGCGAATCACGAGTCCGTTCGTTCGGCAGTGGGCTTGGCGAATACTGAGGCGTCGCCGGTGAGCGAGACGCCTCTGGAGCATTGCCCGAGTCAGACACGTCTGACTCGCCAGAGTAGATGACCTCCACATCGGGGTCATCGTGCGCACGCGGCGTGATACCGCGTGCACCTGCAGCACCTGTTGCTGCAGGCGAAGAAGGGGCGGCAGACGACGAAGCGTCTGCCGCAGAGGCTTGCACAGCACCAGGCTGTGTGGGTCTTGAGTCACCTCGCATAGACATGTTAACTATGCGAGGTCAAGCGGAAAGTGAGTGGAACGCACCAAACAAGTGCTCCCTGTCCCAATGGTGGCCAACGGGTGGCCTCCATATTTCGATAGTCACACGGTGACTATCAGTTAAGGGGGGGTGATGTAACGGGGCAGCCCGTTACATGATATTGTCACTTAAGGAAAGTGACAATAAAGAATATAAGATGGATATTCTTTAAACAATATCACCGAAGCGGTGATATTGAAGGGTCGACCAGAAGGGTCTGTTCATTGGTTGATATCTTGATGATATCAACCCACCAATCGCCGCAAGACGCGCGCAATGAGTGGTGACGAGACGTCACCATACATGCAGTTATATTAGTATAATTGAATTAAGTCAAACGAAGAGACAGTAGTTTAAGGACTTAATTTATTAATATAACAGTTCTACTTTTACCCTACCTACGCTTCCTCGCTCGCCACGTGTACGTCCGTCGGGGCACCCAAATCCCTTGCGTTAAGTTACGCAAGGGTGTGCCCCGTTACATGGCAAGCGAGGAAGCGTAGCTAGGGTAAAAGTAGAACTGTTATATTAATATAATTAAGTCTTTTAACTACTGTCTCTCTGTTTGAATTAGCTTAACTATACTAATATAACTGGATGTATGGTGACGTCTCGTCACCACTCATAGCGCGCGTCTTGCGGCGATTGGTGGGTTGATATCATCAAGATATCAACCAATGAACAGACCCTTTGGTCGACCCTTCAATATCACCACTTTGGTGATATTGTTTAAAGAACATCCATCTTTATATTCTTTATTGTCACTTTCCTTAAAGTGACAATTTCATGTAACTGGCTGCCCCGTTACAGGTTGAATAGTCGAGGCTTTGCTTTCAGTGGGCTCCATCAAACACTTTGGTGTAGCTTTTTTGCGTATACGTGCATATTTCATCCCCAGGTGATATGGACTATTTGAAGCCATTCATAAACCCACTCAACTCGTTGTTGCGCTCTTACAGCTCTCCCTCATCGATTCCAGCGAAAGCAAGCCGTTATGCTCGCAAGATATCTACTTGCACTTCGCGAGCTGCCTTCATCGCGCGCGCCCGTGGCCATAAGGATATTGCGCTGGCTATTTAACGTATGATTAATGAAGATCGACCTCACGCATCAGAAAGACTACAAAGACGTCAAATAACCAGCAGATGTGCTCGAGGCAACAACTCGCGTCACGGCAGTGGCGCAACGATTTCGGCAGCCGACTAAGATACAGCGCTGCAAACACTGACGTCCAGCGACTGCACATTCCACTCTAATCCAGTACTAGTCGAGCTATCCAGGATTGAGCGCCGCCATTTTCGTTCCTGTAAACCGTTGTGCTTTTCTTCTATCTTGCTGGTGCTGGTTGCTTTTTCGTCACCCAGAGCTCCAGTACCTCGTGGCTGAAGGCAAATGTCACGACACCAGGTATCGCGCGTTCTTTCGCCTCTCGACCACCGCTTTGGCTCTATGGCACCCGAAAGCAGTCAATCTTCTTGTCATGTTACTTCTTTCGTCACTAAAAGCTCTGTTCTCTTACTCTGCCCCTTTCCTGCATCCGCCCGTGGTAAGTGCGCAGTGCACGTGTCAACAATATAGTGGGCCAGTCGACCCTACAACTCTACTTCACACATTACGCTGTCGCTCAGTCATAGCACTTCTGCCTTCCACCTGCATATCGAGTCGGGACAGTTTCCGTCTGACGACTACATGCGTCGCACGTTCTGTTCAGTACAGAGCAAACACGACGTCGTTGTCGCTCTGTGTGTATTCCTGTGACTCGAATCATGTCACGTGCAACACCCCTTCCTTCCCCATTGTATCGTCGTCCTTCTATCGATCGTATTACACTACGATACTGCCGTTTCGTTCGGAAAGCTGCAGCTCACGAAATGCGACTTTCTCCACGTGATCGCAGCAGGTGTGAAGTCATTGCTGTCCATTGCTGCGTGAAGGCCACTTCGCGTCGTTTCGAGGTACATGGCGCACGTGCAGAAACGGTGGATGAGGGCGAGGCCAGTCCCGGCTCTGACCCGATAGTGGGCAGGACCGGATGGCTGTTCTCTCTCGCCTGAACCCCTAATAAGGAGCTCACAGAATGAGTGGTGCAGAGCCGACCGTTCATAGCCGCGCCCGAGAAGTTGTCACACTGGTGAGCAGCGTTTCACACCCGTACCACCTCACGCACACACTCACTGGCGATCGTGTTACTCGCGCACTGAAATGGCTATACGTAGAGGAGGCAGCGTGTGAGTACTGTTGCCCGATAGTGTGGCAGTCCGTTATTGGAGTTGATGGTTCGTAACCGAGTCGAGTGGGCTGAACTACAAGGTAGTGAGCGCCGTGGAGCTGAGCACAGATCAATCGGTCTGTCTGCCTTCCGTCGACGGGCAGGGACCCACACTGGCGCTTTTTCCCATAAATGATGGACCACTGGTGAGCATCAATCAGATGACCGACCGGCTGCTTGCCATCCACTCGCGTGTCGACACTGCAGCAAGTGCTGCGGCCAGCCACCCATTCCACTATCACGCGCTCGATCCCGACCGCTCGTTTTTCGATCCCTTTTGTAACACCCGCCGCGGCAAATCCACGAGCTGTACATCATCGACCGAGCGCTGACAAAAACGGAAGCATGCGGACAGTGGCGCAGAAACGGCACAGTCCACGCAGCGCCGGAGATCAGTGGTAGCGAGAGAGAGAGACAGCGAGAGGGCGTACAAACTGACGCACACGGCGTCGAGGCGTCGCAAGGACAATGCACCACCGTGAAGCGCATGCGATTTGACAGAGCTCTCTAGTGTGTAAATAAGAGTGTGCAAGGGGGGAGGGGAACTTGTAGCGAGGCAAAGCTGCGCGGACGGTTTCGCATTGCATCTCGTTCGGTTGCCATCGATATCCCATATAAGAGGCAAGTCGTCACTCGTGCTGGTACGAATAGACGTGGCGGTGGAGCGAATGGTATCTCCGATACAAGAGGAACAGGCCACGAGACGCACACGCTCATGTCCCTGTGAGAAGACGGGAGTCACAGGGTCAGCGCAATATCGTCGCGAGCGTTCGTTGCCCCTGTGGTAAATGGTGTGTACGACGTATGTGTGTGGTGCATATGTCAAGAGAGAGAGAGAGAGAGAGAGAGAGAGAGACGTCCGTTCTCTTCAGCGACATGTCGAGTGCGTTCGCTCGAATGTATTAATAGCCAGCCATCAGCTCCGTTTCGAGAACACAGGGGAAGGGATCCAGCAGATCTTGCCGACAAGAAAAGAGCCATCAAGAGTCAGTCGAGAACGAGCGCGGGAAACGAGAGGGAACAAAAAACCCTCTGCGCCTTTGGCTCCAAACGCGCCCAGCAGAGCTTTCACCAGCCAATCACTGCGCCAACGACGACGGAAAAGAGCAATCGACTGATTGACTGACTTTCTCTCTCTCTCTCTCGTTTCTTCGTTCGTTCGCTTCGCCGCTCCCCCTCTTTCGGCCAGAGCCAATTATTACCAATTGTGCCGCACGCCCATTGCCCTTGTGATGAACTCGCCCACGCCGCCGCTCGCGCTGTCGAGCCACCAGGCGATCATGAAGTGCCCGTGGCAATGGCGGCAGCCGTTCCTCGACGCAAAGCGCGAGAGCCGCAAGCGCAAAGTCGGCGACGGCTACTTTTACGACCCCGTGGACCCCAACTTTGTCGACCACTTGCTGCCCGGCTATGCCCTCCAGTTTGGCGGCCCCGACGTGCTCGAGTCGGACGAGAAGGAGAACATCCAGCGCGAGATTGAGCGCCTCATGACGCAGAAGAACGACCGCCGCGGCCGAGTGGACGCCGCGGCGTTGGCGGTCTGTGCGGCGTCGGACGACGACAGTGGGGCCGTGCGCCGCGAGAACGAGGCGCTCGTGGACAGTATCCTGCTCATGTCCAAGTCGGTCGAGGCCTCGTCGCTCACGCTGGGGCTGTTGGCCTCGCCCAAGAGCGTGACGGCGTCTCCCATGCTGTCCGACGAGAGCAGCAGCGGCAGTGACGACGACGACAATGAGCGCAGTTCCTTGAGCGGCGACGAGCTGTTTGATCTCGCCGAAGACCGACCGACGACTCTCCAGCGCAGCAGTCCGTCGCTCGAACTCTTGTCGGACAACTTGCAAGAGGCGTTTTTTGCCGCAGAAGACGACACGCTGCTGGACTTTCACACTGCGTCGACGACCGCTTCGGTGGTCGTAGCGACGAGCGACTGAGGAGTGGCAGCGACGGAATGTGGCGCGCCGTCACGTGCGCTCGTGCTCGCGTCGTGACGTTTTGCGCGCGCGACTTTTTATTTATTGATTGACAGACTTCCACCCACCCACCCACCCACCCAAACCGTTCGATGCCTTTTATGTATGAAGCGACAATGGCGCGCAGAGAGCGCCTGCCTCCACGAGAAGTCGAGGACGCACTTGCGTACGACTGACCCAAAACAGCCCCGAGAACTGCGACTCGCTAATGAACGTGCTTTTTTTGCCACTTTTTGTTGCGGCTGTAATGCTTTGTTCGTACCTTATTCGGCGGTCGGTCTACTCAGCGATGACATGCGATGAACCGGATCTCGTCCCACTTTCTCGATGAAAAAGCTCCTTGTAGCCCGCCGGGTCACGCACGAGGTGTAAAGACTCGACAGCGTCTATTCTATCGTTGATGCGGCCGTTACTGAGAAACGGACGTCCTGATTGCTCTAATTGCCGTATTTGACCGATTGCCCGGACGACTGACTCATGTCGCCTTCTGCCAAAACATCGTGCCTTCCACGACAAACGGCCGCAGTAGCCGCCTCGACACCAGCGTATCCACCAGGATCTCAATCTTTTCTTTCCCGTAGTCTGGCAGCATATCCATAAGGTGGTCAACGCTCTGGACACAAGCAACAAGAAGTGAAAGACGTTAGTATTGCAACGCGATCGTGCCCGATACTGCAGCAGACAAAGTGACCGCCAACGTGCGTCGAGCACATGCAACGCTTACAATTGCAGGCGTATCATCATCCGCGCCTTGAAATTTACTGTACAATGTCGACACCTGCACGGCACCAATCCCTCGCTACACAGCCACCAGCGCACAAACATACGGTGAGTGCTGATCGTACACCAACGATAACGATGAAGCACCGCAGAGGCCGTACCTGAAACGCTGCTGGCAGCAATGACAGCTCGAACTTTGGAGTCGGCTCCCCGGCGCTGACTGAGTCGTCGTAGTCGTGCAGCCGCGTCTCTTGCGACACACTGCCGACGTCAAAGCTCGCGCCGACCAGACGATTCGACAGTGGAGTGTTGGGTGTCATGGCCTTCAGCTGCGTTCGCAACAGCGGCGAGGCCAGATCGAACTCGGGTGTACTGGGCGTATCGTCGTCCATGAACGCCTCGTCCCGTTGTCGCGGCGGCGTTGCTGCGACTGGCGTCTGCCTCTCCATGTGTGTCGATTGATATCCTGACGATAAACTACTTCTACTGCTGTACTTCCTGCGCAAGCTCGGCGACGTGAACGGAGACGTGGCTTTTGCAGGATAGCGGGTTTTTGGGTACACGGCCGGTGTCCGCTCCTTCTTACGAGCACTCGATGATCGACTCCGCTTTCGACTCGCAACATCCTCTTTTGCCGGTGAACTCCGTAATCGCAACGGACTCGCCCCCTTCTCCGTCACTTGCCCCTCGTCTCGAGCGGCAATCGACAGCCGGACCGTGCTAAAGTCTGGCGAAGAGGGCGTCTCAATGGAATCCGACGTCCAGTCGCCTCCTTCCTTTGCTTCACTGTTTGCGATGGCGCTCGCCCTTGTCCCGCGCGGTGGCGTGTACTCGAACGCCCCCATCTTCATGAGATTTCGGCTGATGCCGGGACTCGTGCGGCATTCCACGCTACTAATGGCCGACGGCGGTGTCGTAATCACTCGGTCTCCCGCGGTCGCTGTCGTCATTTGCTCTCGCTACAACCACAAGCCACAAGCCACACACACAGTCACACACACAGTCACACACATAGCATACAATGAGCTCGTATCGTTGTCAAGCAGCAGCAGTAGCAGCAGGAGCAGCAGCAAGTTGCACGCACCGATACGACTCCTGTCCGGGGCGGCGACGTCATCCGCGGCGACCAGCGGCCGTGATCGCTCGAGTTCAACGTGGACGTCGAATGCTGCGTCTTGACCGTCGATTGGACCGCAGCTTTCGACATGTACGGCGTCCGCGACATGCGCGGGAGGTTGTCGCTGTTGATACTCGCGTCCAGACTGTCCTCGTCGGCCGATACGTTGCGGCGGTCACTGCTACGCGGCTTCAGCTTCTTGAGCGTCGTGGTCTTGAACGTCTGCTCTCGACTGACGAACGACGACTCGTCCACGTCACAGTCGTCGTCCATATCGACGTCCATGTTGTCGACGTCTCCTCCTCTGTCCGCGGTCCCACCTTCTCGTCGTGTTGCCGCGTCGTCGCCACTTGACATGGGCGTCAACGGTCTCGAGAAGCGCGACGGGGTGCGCGTCACGCGCCGGACCGCGGGCGGCTGCGTGAACGAGTCAAAGAGCGGCCGCCAGACGCGCGAAGACGCGTGGATTTGCCGCAGGATCTGGTGGTGTCGCCGCACGGTCGCGCAGATCTGCGTCGCCGATCGGTGGGCAGCGCAGATGTTCGCGTCGATCTCCTGCAGCAGATACGTGATGCGCTGCTGCGCGGGCTCGTCCATTTTCGCGCGCTTTTACTCGAGCTTTGCCCCTTTGCTTGGTGGGACCATCACTCTGTGCAAGCGAAAAAAGAAAGGAAACAAAGCACACCCCTACCCCTCCGTTTCCGGCAACTGCAACGTGGTTGGCGCGCGCTACTCGTTTGAATCCGCTGTGTAGCTGCGCGCGCAGTGCGCAATCGTCCCGTCGTTGTTCACACACGTTGCAGCAACGCGGCCCGATCGATTGCCATTCATGGAGTACCGCGTGCGCAAACGCAACGTGAGCGGCGCGGGTCGGCTGCCGCGCTCGCTCGAGGAGGTGCTGCCCGACGCGACCGTGCGTCGCTTCCTGCTGCGCGCGGGCTTCCGCTCGAGCTCGGCCCGCGCCTCGGCCGAAGTGCGTCGCCACGTGAGCGACTTTTTCCGGCGCATCGTGGGCTGTATGGTCGTCATGATGCAGCACGACGGGCGGCGCAGTTTCCGCCTCATTGACGTCAAGCGCGCGTGCGAGCACTTTGGCATCCGCATGTACGGCTACGACGACGTGTGTCTGCTCGCCGCGCGACGCGCGTGTGGCCCCGAAGTGTTCCACGTGACGGAACTGGTCGAAGGCCACTCGCTGTATAGTCGCGCGAGGGACGCGCGGGACGAGCCCGACACGGAGCCGGGCGCGGGCTACCGGAAGACGAACTTTGTGGCGAACTTTGCCTCGTGGCAGCGCGACGCGTGTGCAGACGATGACAAGAGCGACCTCAGTGACTGGTCGTTCTCGGATAGCGACGAGGAGCAGCGCGACGTCGCGGACAGAAAGGCGGGGCACGAGCGGCGGCTGTCGGAGGAAGAGCAGTTTCTCGCGTCGCTGCGGGACGCGCAGGACACTGTCGACGACAAGTTACTGCACGACGCCGAAGCAGACGACACGGACGACGAGAGGCCGCCGGGGCAGGGGTACTACTCGGACTATGACGACGGCGACGAGCCGGCGGTGGCTAAGCAGCAGCGACTGCACGACGACGACGAAGACGCGCAGTGGACGAAGGCGGGAGACCTGTACGTGCTGCCCGAGCGAGAAGACAGCGGCCCGGCCGAGCTGCAGCGGTTCCGCGATCCCTCGCAGCTGTATGTGATCGCTCGGCAGGAGTTCCTACGTGTGTTCCGCACGCTGCTGGGCGTGACGCTGCGCCTGGGCGAGCTGCCGATCACGTCGGTCGCGCTGAGCGCGCTGCACAACGCGACGGAGCAGTGTCTCCACCGCTCGCTCACGGAAGGGTCGCTCCACTACCAGCTGGTCGCGATCTTGAAGGAGCAGGAGCGCGTGCACGCCGTGAGTCGACTCGAGGCCGAGCTCCACGTGCAGCGCGAGAAGGTAAATGAGTTGTGTGCAATCATTGCGGCTAACAAGCAGGCGTTCGAGGCTAAGGAGTTAGCCATGCAGCAACAGATCGAGCAGCTCGAGAAACAGCGACACGGCCGGCAGCACGACGACGACGTGAAGATGGAGACACCGCCGAGCCGCAAGCAGAAGACGACGAAGCAGCAGCAGCACACGTTGACCAAGCGAAAAGCAACGAGTAAGAAATCTCTCCATGCGCGGAAGGGTCTTTCCAATTCCTCAAATGGTTCTGCGTCGTCATCCGTAGTAGGTGCGCTGCGCTCGCGAGATCCAAACAGTTCGGGCACGACGAAGAAGAGGAAGGCCAGTCTTGTGTGACCGAGACGAGTGGGTGTGTGGGTGGGTGTGTAGGTGGGAACGGGGCCAGCCAATTCAACCTCGAGTGTGGCCCGTCCCTTTGGTATCGCGCCTGGCTGGGTTCCCGTGTCTGCGTATTGTCGGGGGCAGTGTTGCTGGACCCACGGGTATATCATATCGGGTGATGCTGACGTAGCAAATTGCACCAATCGAACGATTCATTTTGCGTTCCACGTGCTTGGCCCGTTGCAAACGTGTTTGCGTTATGCTACCATCAGTGCCTTCGTCTCGGCTGCTCGGATCGTAGCTGTCGCGTGACACACTTGGACGAAGTCACTCAGGTGCTGGAAGAAGCCATTGCCGAGCATGCTACACAGGAATTGCAAGTGCGAGTGAGTGAGTCAGCACGTGCCACCACTCTCATGGCGTTGTCAACCAGCGTACTTACGCACTTTAGGTAAGCTTCGACGTTATTGTGGCCTGCGCCAGTGACCCACAGCGGCTTGCACCGCCACGCTTGCGGGCACAGCTCAAACAGTCGTTCGCCGTGCCAGAAAGGCACGACTTCGTCGCGCGTGCCGTGGATGATCGTCACGGGCGACTGGACCTGGTCGATGATGTCAATATTGCAGAACAAGTCGCCGGGAAACGTATAGCGAAAGTTGAAGACGACGCGGAACATGGAGAGCACGGGACTCTGGAGGATCACGCCCGCAACGGGCTGTGCGAGATTCGACTGCTTGGCTGCGAGGTACGTTGTTGGTCCAGAACCGAGCGACCTGCCGTATCTGCGCGCACGAACGAGTCCAAGGAGCTTGTCAGTCAACATCGGCAGCAATCGACAGTGCGTGTCTCCACGCTACGTACAAGATGATCTTGCCAGGCGGAGTCTTCTTCACGGCCACGAGATACGCCAAAGCAGCGTCGGCGTCGGCCATGCAAGCTGCTTCACTGGGCACGCCCTCGCTAATACCGTAGCCAGAATAATCATAAGACATTACGTTCACCTGCGCGGCACAGTGCATGAGAACGAGGCGACGCAGGCGTTTGCACGGCGTTCGTGGAGCTTTGTACCTGAAGTCTTCTGCTTACTTCACGAAACCAACCGTAGATCATGCCTAGATCTGCACATAGAGCCATTACCGATACAAAGCATTACAGTCCGCGTCCGTGTGCCCCGTTCTTCTCGTCGCCATCCAAATCACCCCAACCTCTCTTGCCTACCTTCTGCGTTGCCATGAGAAAAGAGCACGGTGTATTCAGCCTTACTATGAGCGTAGCAACAACGTTAGTAGAGCCACATCCCACGCAGCATCGACCACAAACACTTGGGCGCTACGCATTATCAAGGGACCTACTCGTATGGAATAAAGAACGCGGGGATCCGGTGACGCATCGCTGTCACGAGGAAGAAGTAGCGACGCGTGTACCCATAAGTCGCAGGCGGTGGCTGAAACACTAGCGAAGAGACCGTACTGCCCATATTGCGCTTTGGCCAACCAACCACCCACCGACTGCTGCCGCTGCTACTACTACTACTTCGGCGTCGATAAATCGGTTGCCAATGGCTACAGCTGTAGCGACAACCAGACAACGGCCTATCGACAACGTATCCACAGAGCTGCAGTTGTCGCGTGCAATGTGTGCGTAGCGAGCGACTGCTGATGAAACAGAACACCTCTCGAAACCGATCATGGCGACCGTATAGACTTCTGTATTAGTCCGAGTGAAGATTGAGGTCGGTTTGTGTCGTCAAAGAGGCTAAAGCTCTATCGCTTTATTCGAACTTGTTGTTACCGTCTGCTCAATTAGACGCCTCTCTAAGGCGCTGGCTCACGATGAACGTGGTACAAAACCACGTCAACAGCTGCAATACCAGCCGCGTCGTGACTGACTAACGGGTACGACGACGTTTCGATACCTGTCTCACGCCGAGTAGATCCTCATCGATCGCACGTTTCGCCTGACGCTCGTCTTCATCCACTGGAATGCCTTTTCGACGAAGCAGATTTGCAAAACTTCCTCGATTAGCTGGCGTAAGATCTGGTTGCGGCGAGCTGTATACAATCGCCGGCGGTTTACCGCTGTTGCCTCTGGACGGCATGAATACGGGTGGCAGCAGGATTGGGTGGGTCGTCACAATCGAGTACTGCGGACGCTGCTGCTGCTGCTGAAGACGCCTGCGATTGGCATTGTTCGATGCAGGGCTCAAACCTCGGAGCAGTCTTCTTCTTCTTCTTGGTCGTCGCTTCGGACGTGGGCGTTCCAGCCACGGCATCGATTCGCGCACAACTCGGACGTAGTCCAGCCATTCGCTCACCTTATTGTACACACACTCAAGGCCTGGCACATTCTTCAGCAAGAGCGACTTGATACTGCGGGGTCTGCGCTTCGCTGCATTGTACAACATCTGCATCGTCTGTAGCTTTTCTTTTTGCCGCAATTGTCTCCTACAAAGAACACAGTCGACACAACATGACGTCAGAAGATCGAATCTGCAGCACACGTGTGGCTCATTGATCAGCAACAGCTTCAGCGGCTCTACACGCACTGTCTCTCTACTTGTGTGGCGCTACTGAACGTAAACCCCGACGCCAATGACCCCATCGTCTTCTGTCCATCTGTTGCATTGCACACACGTTTCAAGCGTTTCAGCCAATCATCAGCGACTACTTTGATCACATACCGGTTTTACCGAACTAGGCTACTGTTTCGTACCCGTGTGGGAGGGCGCGCCCAAGTCGGTCGGCGGATCTCCTCGTAATTTGGTAAACGGCGAAAACGTCACGTGCCGACTGACGTCCAGCGATCGCCGAGCGGACGCCCGCTTTTGCTCTTTCTTCGGTGTACTGCCGGACGGCCGCAAAGGGCTTGCGTACGACGACAGCGTCTTCAGGATCGGCCGCGGCATTGTCGTGGTAGCTGCGACTTTCCTACCGGTAAAGTACCAGCGTACCAGTACCAAAGGCCGTGGAGGTGTCGTGGCTCACGTGATTGGTGGAATGCTGAGCTCATCGTTCATCCAATGAACGGTCGCGACGGATAATGGCTACAGTATCAAGCCACTACAGACCCAAGCGACTTCCAAGTCTTCTGACACAGGAAGGCCAACGCCAAGTAGATGTGTACTCACTCTCCTATGGATATTTCTTGCAAGACTCGAGCACCTCTCAGTAAGCGCAAACAGTTGGTGACAATAGAATAGGATGCAAACACACGAGCGTATCAGTCACAGAGACCTTTTCCTTATCTTTCAAACCGAACTGTTCAGACGCCAGCCATCACGCTGCCGCTAGAACCTCCTTCGTGACCACAGCCAACAAACGCGCCTACAGGCACTGCTTGATGAACTTGTTGATCTCCGCCCCGCGGTTGCCAGCGTCACCGCCCTCGGCAAAGTGCAACAGCTTCTTCGTGTACCCTCCGTTCGGCGACGACAGCTGGAACGGCCACAAAAAGTTGGCAGCCTGCTTGAAGTGCTCACCCACGGTGAAGATCTCGTGAATCAAGTCCTCGATACAAATGATACCGACGTGGCCAAGAGACTTCTCAATCACAGCATTGTCCGTCAACGGGATACGCTGGCCACGGACTTTGCCGAATCCACGCTTGTAAATGAGCTCACGAGTCACCTTCAGGTTCGGGTACCCGTACGTGACGAAAGGCTCGACCAGACGCAGCATGTTGATCGTAGCCTTGTTCAGCTTCACGAACACGCCGTTCTGGATCTGGCGGAGTCGCAGGAGTTGCAAGATCTTGCGAACCTTCGGCGACACGCCAATGATACCGCGGATACGCATCACAAACGCAAACTTGGCCTCAGCAGGCACGAAAAAGTTGCCCGTCGACTTGGCTTGGCGACGCAGGACCACATTCTGCTTCTCGAGCTGCAGTCGTGTCAGGAAATTGCAGTGTTACGACAACGTTGGGAAGGCAGCCAGCAAAACAGACAGACAGACAGAGCTCTTACCTGACGGTACTCCTTGATGTACTTTTCAGCGCTCTTGAAGGCGATCTGACGGACCTTCTTGCGGTGGCTCTTGTCGGCAATCGACTTGGCAGCACGCTTGGCCTTCACCTGCGTGAGCGTGCGACGCTTCTTGAGGATCGACTCGGGGACGAGACTGTTGGTGGATGGCAATCAACAAGAGAGAGAGAGAGGGGGAGAGAGAGAGACAGAGAGACACGCAGTACAAGCGTTAGGACGGGGTGCATGACGCATCGGAGTCGTGAAGCCAGACCTCGGCCTCGGCTCTTCCCGATACACCCGTCATAGTTCGATTTGAGTGGAGTGGCGCAAGAGAGCGCGCCACACACACCACGATCCTCCACGAATGCTGCCGTCTGGAAACGAGCACATTGGGAGACAATGGAGGGACACGAGTGTCCTGTCTCCGTATGTATTTCAAGAGAAGAGCGCAACAGTCGTGCGCTCTACTCTCACGATCCTTCCGTGCGTCGCCTTTGCTCGACAAAAGCAAAGGACAAGAGACGCAGGAGACTATCCATGATGGCCAGTCGTACGAGAGACTCGGGCCGTGGCCGTGGCCGTGGCCTATCGTTCAGACAGCGACGTACACTTTGGGGGACACTTTGGGGGCAGCAACAGTCATGATGCAATCAGTCGATCGATCGATCGGTCGGTCGGTCGGTCGGTCAGTCCTTCGGTTTGAAAAGTGAAGAGCTCTACGCCCATTCACATGTCCAGGACGCATCGATTGAATGGTCGAGACGCGATGCTGTTTGTGATTGGCTGAAATACCACAACATCATCGCGTCGTCGGTCTCTAGGATGCAACCTATACTTTTGATCAACAACCTCTCGCATGACGAGCCCGGGAGAAGCTACACAATGGGGTCCTTGCTCTTGAACGCCGCGCTTCTTGGCGGCGGCTTCGTGCTGGGCCGCGTGCCGCTGCTACCGCTTGCAGCTCAAGCTCTCGATGAGCTCATTGCGCTCTCTGCGCTGCGTAAAGTGCGTCCATAGCATTCGACGGTCGAGAATCGTGTCTTTCCAGGTTCGTTTTGATCTTAGGTGACAAGCTAAACTATCTTTGTAGGTCGTCATGGCCATTCTCGTGACGCTATTGGTGGCGATCTACTTGCTGGGCATGTTACTGCCACTGCAGTGGGTGGCGGTCCAGGTGAGTGATAGCAGATATAGTGGTACTGTTGATGGAGATGTGAGTGGCTGACGAGAAACGTGGCTGTCGATTGTAGGAAGCGCAGAAAGCTGCTGCGCGAGTGGACCAGCCGGAAGCCACGTCGTTTCGACGGGAAGTGCGACGTCGTGGGAGTTTTAGTGTCGAGTACGTGGCAGACATGAAGGCCCATGTGTTTGCGTACTGCTGAGAAGAGCAGTTGCGGGGGGCATAGCAGTTTTTTGGGAGAGAGGAGGGACAGAGGGCATGTGGAAGCGCGTAGAGGAAGAGGACGTTCGTCCTGCAGGACGTCACGTCGTACCAGAGTCACTACAAATAAATTGTGGGGCGGAAGACGGGAGCGATACTGCCCGTCACTGGTGCACTTTGATGCGGTCTTCTTCAAGTGCTTTTTCAATCTTCGTTTATGTTGGTGTATCTGCTTCATGGTCCCGAGATTGTGGTAACTTTCTCGATAAGCTACAGAGCCGCATGCAGTGTCGAGTGTGCTACTATAGATGGACAAAACACGATCGTCTCTTGACAAATTTGAGCATTGCATAGCCCATGTGGGTCGGCTCAGCATAGAACGCTTTGGCAGATGTTTCAGGAGCGTCAGGAGCTACAGGTCTCACTGTCGAATGTAGCTTGGCGGCGCATGTAACTGGATAGCGGCTTGTGACGGGAAGTGCCGAGTCATCCGGACAAGATGCCAAAGCACGATAATCACGAGTGCTTTCGGGTATCAACGCAAGTGCACTGCAACCTTATCAGTGCCCGTCGGAATACACGGTGCATGCTGCGTGCATTGACGTTGCTCCATACGTCACGCTTGACACAGTCAGTAGTGATACGCGCTCGTAAGCAAGGGATTGCTATTCGACTTTGACCGTTCGCACAAGCCAAGTGGTCGTGTACCAACCACTACGTCGCAATACCACACCAAAGGTAATGCAGTCAGTCTACAAGAGCTGACACACGGACGACGGGGCACGTCAGCTTAGCACACACGACACGAGCCTAACTGACAACAAAAACATGACTTTTCAGTATTGTGACTGAACCGAACATTCTCTCTCGCCAAAGTCGTCCACTTCCGAGGCCTTTTCTTTCCATGCAGGCGTCAGCTGTTTGAGGTTACTGAAATAGGTTACGTTTTGCCAACGTGGGGTACACAAGAACGGCGTCGCATCGATGGCCGACCGCCAAGAGGTCCGATCGGTCCATGGACTCGCCACTGCCTCTCCTCTCTCTCTCCTGCAAGCACAGCTCAACCGTTTCGTTCTGTGCCATGCAGGTCCAGTCGACCAAGACCCTGCCTGCAACGCCTTCGCAGGGCTCTCCGTCGTCCACCAGTCCCAGCGATGCGGCGGCGACAACACCGCTGTCCAAGGCATTGAGCCACGCAAACAACAGTGCGGCCACTCTACGGTCGGCAATGGACGCGAGCGAGCAGCTGTCAACGCCGAGACAAGTTGCGGCAATGCTGCACGAAATGGCGCACTCGGACCCGCAATTGGTTCGTTCCTCGTCGTCGTGTGACGACTGGCTGTTGTTGTGGTTGTCTGCCTGTTGTTGTGGTTGTCTGCCTGTTGTGGTTGTCAGTTGCAAACGTCGCTCAGGGCCTTTGGCTGCTGTTGCAGGTGGGACAAGTCGTGGGCGAACCGGACGCAACTGCGCAACAAGTGCTGCGGGAGTACGCCAATCTCTTTGCGTTCCAAGGGGTGAGCTTCGACGTGGCTCTCCGCGTCTACTTGGGCCGATTCGAGCTGCCCCACGAAGCGCAGAAGATCGACCGCATCCTCCAGGCGTTTGCCCGAGCGTACTATATGAGCAATCCAGACAGCTCCGAGTGTCCGTCGGAAGACGCAGCGTACACGTTGGCGTTCTCTGTGCTGCTGCTGAACACCGACGCGCACCACCCGAACTTGGCGCGCAAGTTCAAAATGACGCGAGCCGACTTTGTACGCAACTACCATCGACTGGGCACAGGCGAAAGCGGCTCGGCGAGAGCTGAGGTGCCCGATGTGTATCTCGGGCAGTGCTACGACCTCTTTGTGGTGGACAGCATTCGGCCCATCGAGCAGAAACCGACGGCGCTGTTGCCGGACGAAGTCGAGCTCGAGTTTCCCGAGACAGCGTTAGGGCTGGAGATCGAAACGTCGTTTGATGGTCGGACGGCCGTCGTCAAGAGGTACGCTGGCAACCGACACACATGCAGCAGCAAACGAAGACAGCGGCCGTCAAGCTCAACGTCATCGTCCGCGTCGGGCAGCAGCAGCAGCAGCTTCTTGACTTCCAGTGCCAGTTTGTTCGCCGCTGGAAGCAGCGCCTTGGCCAACCTCTTGGCAAGAATAGACCCGGAGCCCGAGACGTCAATCGAAGGCTGGGTGATCGTAGCAGTCGGCGACGATAGCACCCGTCAGATCGGCTACAACCTGTCGCGCTACTTGCTCAAGACCGCGCCACGACCCGTTCTGATCCGTTTCTGCGAACCCAGCGTCTACTTTGCATCACTCGTCTGAATAGCAGCCGAATCAATCACTCAGTCAGTCAATCACTCATTAGTCACTCAATCTGCCTTGTCGACCGTGGCAAGCGCCGTTTCCCGCTTCCCACCGCCCCCACACGTAACGACCGCACACACACACACACACACACTGCGTCTCTGTCGCACCCCTCGCAGCAACAGCACGAAACGTCTCATGTGGTGTCAACGAAAGCTGTTTCTGGACAATTAGTTCGTGAGCGAGTGGCAAAAGTCGGCGACGCATCACATTGTGCATCAGATTAATGCATCACGTGGTACGAACGATCCGATGGATGAAAAAAAAACGGCAAAAAGAATGCACGTCGTACCAGTTTTCGCGCAAACGATTATACGACGAACGCGTTTGTCGAATTGTCACGTGTGCCGCTGAGCGCGCAGCACATTCACAAGTGCGTCACTCGATCACGTGGTCTGCTGAGAACATTCGCCGATCATGTTGGCTTCTGTCTGTCGTTCGTCACTCACTGCCTTTAATGACTGCATCGTCATCTGGTCCTTTTTCTACTTCACACACAAATACCCAATCAGCCAGTGCGGTCGATGTTACTCACGGCGCTTGCCGACATCGTGGCTGGATTGCTCGCGCTACTTCACACGAGCGTTTCGTTCGTGCGCGCGCGACTGTGACTAGTGACTCGTAGGGTTCCTCCCAACGGCTATGCTCAGATGGCAGCAGCCACTTCTGCACGTTCGAAGTCTCCAGAGCCACTACCGGTCTCGGATAGTTTCGGCAACTCGCCGCGCGCGACCTGATGTGCACCATACAACAATCAAGTCCACCCCGCGCGCACGGCCGATTCGGTCCCGTCGTTTCCCTGTTCTCGCCTGCTCGTCGTCAACGTTGAAGTGACGTGACCCGTCCGACGAGAGCGTCTCCCGCAGCCGCGCGCAGAAACGCCCCCGCGCGCCTCAATCGTCGCGTTCTGTCGAGCCGTCTTCTCCAAGACCGCGTCACTCGCTCATTTGCAGCCATGGGGGTAGCTCTCGCGTGCTGGAACGGCGGCAACGACACGCCCGACGCCTGCAAGACGAGACACGACAACGGCAACCACTGCAACCACCACCACCACATTGGGCGTCCTGCTAAGTACGTTTTATCGGTATTCGTTGCTGTCGTGCGGTTGTTGTATCGTACTAAGTACGATCTGTTCGGCATGTAGCTGGGACACGTTTCTCGTGCCTTTGGCCACGTCGACGACCGCCTCGTCTGGCAGCCGCCTCTTGTCGGCGTTCTACTGCCGCTTGCTGGCGGATTCGAGCGACTGTGCGTTCTATGTGGACACGCGCGGCAAGCGCCTCACGGGGCCCTATCTCGACCGCATCGAGTTGGTCGACAACTACTTTGCGCCGCGTCGGGGCCCGACGGGGGACCGCTGCCTCGTCTCACTACGCACAGCACGCGCGGTCGCGCCGAGCGACGACTGTGCCTCGACGTCGTCGACGCTCACGAGCGAACTCGACTACTGGACGGCGTCTCTCGCCCCGCTCGACCCCACACAGCGACGCCACGGGACTCTGCCGCCCGTGCTCGGGCGCTCTGCGAGCGTCGGGCCGCCCGCGGACGCGCGTGTCAAGATGCACCGCGTCCGTACGAGTCCTCAGCTGCAGGACGACGTGCACTCTGCCTACTCGCAGTCGCCATGGAGCGCCCAGTTTGGCGACTGTTCGGTTTTGTCGCCCCAGCGGATGGCGGCGGGGGCTGTCGCTTCTGCGCGCTGACTCGCTGCAGACGACGCAAAAAGTAGACTGCGTGTGATTGTGCGTTGTATGTCCGGCGGGGCTGCCAACCGACGTTGGTGCGTGGCTGTGCTAAGTACGGTCTAGGTTCGTCGACAGCTGCAAACAAGTTGCTGTGTTTCTTGGGCGTGTGATTGTACGTTCACGAGGGGTTTTATTTCTACGACAGCACGACGAGATTAAAGCACGACGAGATTAAAGCACGACGTAGACGACCTTCTGTACCCCACGCGCCCCACCCCACCTCCTTTTTCAGCACTCGTATCCACTTCCAAGTAGTGTACTCTCAGTCGGCTCGAAAGAGCTTTTTATTCACGCACAAAACAAGCCTACATTAATCCATTTCTTCCTTGATCCACGTACTGATGCCACGCTTGAGGTTACTGTAGTAATATTTGCCAGGTACACTTCGCGACTCCCGCTTGACCCAACCCGGCGGAAGCTTCTCGACTGTCTCAGGGAACTCGCGCTGTTGCTGGGCGCGCTTGACCATCTCTTCGGGGTGGAAGTGACAAATCTCCTTGAACATGAGCTCCTTGAGATCTGACTCGTCGAGATCATCGAGATCAAAACTTTCAAACTTCTCCACGGGGACATTCGTCCGCTCTTCGTCGTAGTACATTGCCAAGTACGGGTGCTGCAGCGCCTCTTCGACGCTGATGCGCTTGTCCACGTCAAACACCAGCATCTTCCATAGCAAGTCCAGCCCTTCCGGGTTCGCGTTCGGGAACATCGTGCTCGTGTCAATGCCAGCGACTGCTTGAGTCCGACTCAGTAGTTGACGGCCCTTCAGCTTGTTCGCTAACGGGTTCTCTTTGAACGAGTGCTCTTCCGGTACGCCTAGCACATTCATGATGAGCTGGAGCTGGTGGACGTACGTCTCACCGGGGAACAGAGGTCTGCGGCTCAACATCTCGGCAAAAATGCACCCTGCTGCCCAAAGATCCACACCTTCGCCATACGCACTGCCCAGCAACAGCTCTGGTGCACGGTACCATCGCGTCACCACGTACTCGGTCATACCCACATCGTCTGCTTCCTTGGAGCGTGCCAGTCCAAGATCGCAGATCTTGAGCTGACAATCCGAGTTGACCAGCAGATTGCTGGGCTTGAGGTCGCGGTGTAGCACACCTGCGCGATGCATGTGGTGCAAGCCACTAAGCATTTGGTACAAAAAGTAACGGATATGGTCATCACGTAATACCTCCTTCGAGTAAATGATACGGTGCAGATCCATTTCCATCAAATCCACTGTCATGTACACGTCACGGAAATCGGTGTACGATGGCGGCGGAATCAAATCCAGTAGACTCAAAATGTTTTCGTGCGCCATGTGTCGAATCAACCGGCACTCGCGCAATATCTGCTTCAGTTGATGCGGGTGCCAAATACAGTCAATGACCTTCTTGATAGCAACGTTGCCGCCCGTCCGCAAATTCGTGGCGGCAATCACGATACCATACGCACCGCGGCCGCATACCTTGATGAGCTGGTAATGACGCGGAATCGTGAACGGAGCACCGCACACCATGAACGTGTGCATGGCAGCGTTTTCCTTACATGCAACAGCGTCTGTCGCAGTGGGCAATGCTACACTGTTCCCCTCGCCTGCGGGAAAATGCTTGTTCGCTGTATCGTCTTCCTCGTCATTGCTGTACCCACCGCTAACGACAGCACCCGCCGATTGCGTGCGGGCCGTATTCTCGGGAGACAGTTTCACGTTTGCCCAGCCGTGACGGCGCACGTGCTCGATTCCAGTAGGCAGTTCGTCCAGCGTCATGCCTTTTTTGAGTGCTGGAGTTGCCGCAGCACCCAACAACGGTAGAGAATGAGCTGCAGGTGTGTCCCATTGCAGCATGTACGATGACGGAGGATTCTTCCGGTCTATCACAACGCTTTGGCTCTTGTTCAGTCGCGGCTGCACGCAGTCATCCTCGTCCAGCTTGGTGCGTCGGCAGGTAATACCGAGCTGGACCTTGCCGCAGTATTCGCCTTTGGCATTGCTGATCGAATACCATTTGCTGTCAGCGGCCATAGCCGCCTCTTCCCGCTTTTTCGTGCGCTCCGTATTGTCAGCAGCCATCAAGTATTTGGCCACATTCACTGTCGCAAAGCCAAGCTGCGACTCGACGCCATTCTTGGAGTGATCAATTACTTCCACCACTAGTGAACATGTGCCAATGACATCGCTGAACGGGAGCTCCAGCACTAAATTCCACACCGGGTGAGTTGGCACATACGATTCGTCACCAGTGTTACGAGGAGTGCCGGTGCTAAATGGGTCGACCACCGGAGTCGAACTGTTGAACGCAGAGTTGTTCATATGACCCACACCAACAGCAGAAGACGCCGCAGAAGCGGCAGAACTGGCTACGGACGTCATGAAGCTGAACTTTCGCGAGAGATTCGGCATCGTGATTCCGCCGATAAGTGTCGAGGAACCCACTAAGGCGGACGTAGACGAACCCGACGTGGACGCACTCAACGCAGAATTGGGCTCTGGCTGCTCGCGGTACCGCAGTCGTACTGTAATGCTCGGTTCCTTGACAATCTTCTTCACCGAAATACCTGCCTTGAGTCCATGGCCTTGCATGACTCGGACCAGCAGTATGCCTTCTAGGCCGTGCTCAGCGTCCACCTCGTTGTACTCTTGAGGAAGCTTAAGCGTCGTCGCTGCACCAGGGACCTTGAAAACCGCACTTGCTGCTACAACGTCACCATTGATCTCAAATCGTGCGAGTCGCCCGTCCGAGTAAAATGTAAACTTATGTATCCAGTTCTGGATGAACTTGCGCGCATCGCGCCGATTCTCGAGCTCCTCTTTGCCTGAAGCAACAGCTATCGAGCCATCGATTGACATGCCGCCGATCTTGAAGTTGGTCCACAGTGTATGTCGAGCAAAGTCGTGCATGAAACTCACGACACCAGCGTGGCCGCGGAACGATCCATGAAATGGCACCGACGGCGGATAGTTCGAGCAGAATATCACATCCTTGTCCAGCAGTCGAAAGAAACGCGTGAATACCTGCTCCGATGGCGGAGGAAGCGTGACGGCCATGTCGCCCTCCGTTCGCCAGATGCCACTGTGTGCCGTATAGAGTACCACCAACATTGCATAGAACTCCTCCATGTCAAGCGGCGCAACAGGAAGCGTAGGAAGCGCCACAATAGCTTCTAGACCAAGCCGCATCCATATGATCTTCTCTACGGCCGTCGGGGCTGTCACCTGCAACGTCTTCTTATCTTCGGTAATGAAAGTGAACCCGTTTGCGCGACTAGACGAGTCCTTCACCCCTGCTAGCACGTACAAATGACTCACACCACTGAAGGCCGGGCTGCTGGAGCTACGCCGAATCATACTAGCGGCAGGGCTGCCTGGTGCAGGCTTGCTCGGATCGCTTGGTGGCTGGATATGGTGCGGCACAAGCGGCTCGTCCCGCGACAACAAGTATGCCTCTTTCGACGCAAACCTTCGCAAAAACTTGCCTTCGAGTACGTAATAGTGTCGCTCCAGCCTCCTCAGCCACTCGCTTCGTCTCGTCAACACGCCTTCCCACTTCACTGCTTCATGATACAATGTTCTCGACGGTGGTCGGAAGCTAGAATCCCGCTCATCCACTCCTAGCGGCGAGTGCACCCCCATCTCTCCATCTAGATTCAGCGACGGTCTGTCTCCGTGCGGCAGCTTCGAATCCATATTCTCATGCGTCGACACCACATTCAGCGCGTCTGCTTCGCCAATGACCTCGCCCGGCTCGTCCGCTGCACCCTGCTCGACGCCACACCCGTTACTTGCAGCAGCCAAAGGGTCCATCAAGCTGCTTGCAGCCGTTGCCGACGACATCCTTTCGCCCAGTGTATTCAGCCGCGGATCGTGGGCCTCGGACAACCGCCTCAGCGACGCATTGTACAGATTCTTTTCCTTCCCGTGCAGCGACAGCTTGGCATCTTCGAGGATCTCCGACGCCCGCTCCGATATCTGTCCCTGTTGTCGCCACATGTTGATCACACCTTCCCGACTCGCGAGCACGACCGTCGTCGCCATGGACGAGCTGTCGTGACTGCGGCGACGGTACGTCACGTCTTTTCCACCGGCAACAGTGGCCACGTCGAGTCCATCAATCATATCCAGTGCAAAATGCGACAGCGAGCTCTCACTGTTGCGCACAATGGGGTCGTAGTGCGGCTCGTCCGGCGGTCCGCCGAGCGTCGCGAGACAGGGCGTGCCATGGTCCGTAGCTGCTGCTGCGGGCGTCGCGGCCGCGTCGGTCACGTCCACTGACGGCGACGGCCGCATCCGCAGCGACGCTCTCGTCCACGCAGCGCTCTCGGACTGCGTCCGCAGGCGCTCCTTCCGCTTCTGGCGCTTCAACTGCGTACAGCGAGTGGGCAGGACGTCCACCACGTCACCCAATGTGCTCGTCGCTTGAAGCTCGCGGTCGATGGGACTGGTGCTCGTGGACGACGTGCGGCTCGCGGGCGCTTTGCACGGCACCGGGTCCTCCCCGTAGCCGTCGAGCTCTTCTGCCGTTGGCGACATGTGGCTCGTGTTCATATCGGCCGCCGCGTCTCGGGCCGTGTGTCGTGTCGGAAGTGGCGCTTGGAGGAGATATTTCTATGAACGGACGAGGTGCGTGTTGCGCGAAGGTACCGAACGCAAAGCAACGCAATGCAACGCGAGACAGGCGGTAGGCTGCTGGCCGGCGTCCTCGACGCGCGCGCGGCGAGCGCAGAAGGAAGAGGCAGACGAAGCGCGTCGACGTACGGACGGACGTGCAGGAGAGGACGGTGTGCTCGACAGGACACGAGCTCTCGCTTGAGAGAGAGAGAGAGAGAGAGCCTATTCGTGCGCGTGGGGGACTGCAAGGATTTCTATTGGCGACGTCGGGCGGGTGGACGGGTTTCTAACCGTTTTAGAAACGCAAAGCACAACGAACGTCAGCAGCTCGCGTCGCGGTCGTCTGTTTGTGCAGCTTAAAACACATGGCACGATCCTGGCAGAGAGGAGACCGACGCTCGGCGTGTCAAGCGTAGCAGCGGCGCAAGCGACCCCGCGCGACAGACGTTCCGCTCTTTTTATGTGCATCCTGCCGCGGTTCGGCCGTCTTTTTATACTTGCGCCAAGATCGGCGGGAAAATCTTCTGCTCGATCATCTCCTCCAGCACCGCGCGCACCTCCTTCGTCTCCAGCTGCGACAAACGTGTCAGTCAGTGTGAGTCGTTATGAGCATCACATGCATGTACTGGTCGGTGCAATTTGCAGTGTTACGCACCGTCGGGTACTCGTATTGGAAGCCCGTCGACTCGATCTTGGAGCCGTCCGCGTAGATGTGATTGTGCTGCAGCAGCTCCTTGTCGATGTAGGGCGTGAGCGGCGTGTTGGTGATACCGTGATCCTGGATACCATTCAGTCCATTGCCAGGCGATGGTCAGAGACGAAAAGATGCGAGTGAGCTACAATGACACGTCATGGACGGAAACGATTGCGTCGACGGGCAGAGCGTACCGCGCATAGATCGGCCCAGGGCTGCATGTGCTTGTCGTTGGCATCGTCCACGACATCGGCAAGTCGCACGCGGGCGAGGTTGGACACCAGCTTGCCGATGAAGCCCGACTTGATGTGGAAGATCACTTCCAGTATAGCGTTGATCTTCGCCTGGGCTGCGTACATTACAGAGGAGTTAGTTGCGAGTCGATGGTGAGCAGAAACGAGGGCAGGGCATGCTGCACTGACTCGTGTCATTTTTGTCAACCAGGTTGTAGATCTCGCCATCGTCTCCAGCAGTCGTGACGTGCCACAACGCTTGGCACACATCCAGCACATGAACCTGCTCAGCAAGCAACGCAGAAGTATGAGACACTGGGACCGGCGTTCAATACAAGCGGCGCAGCAAATCGCACCGTGTTGACACGCATCTCGCTGTCCCACAGCAGCTTCATCTTTTCTTGCAGCTTCACATATCTGAGGCGCCATCGTGCAAAACAAGTCAATAGCGTCATCCAGCTACATATCGTCCGATACCGAGCCACACAACAACACATACGAGGCAGCGCAGACAATCCGAGGCATGAGTCCCATCGAGTCTGCTGATCCATACACCTAGCGCACAAGCAAGCAGCCATATTCGAGAGCGTAAGCAACTGCAGTCACGCATTATCCGTTCATGTGTGTGACATACCGTTGCCAGACGTAAGAACACAGCCTTGAGGTCCGGCAAGCGACGAATCTCCTCTTCAGCCTCGAGTTTGTACTTGGCCTGCAAAGTCCACGGCTGGAGCTCCGCGTCCTCCTTGGCCGGCTGCTTGACCTGCGACTTGTACACGAACGCCGTCGACACTTCAATGTAGCGCTTCACGCCAATCTCTTGCGCTTTCTTGGCTGCCCGCACCAATCACGTCGCTCTTAGCACACATATGGCCACAGCACAGCAACAGCAGCTCCAACACACGGGACAATCGGTAGCCCCGCAGCTGCCCCGTGACACGACCGCAGCTCCACACGTACCGCACTTGATCGATAGATCGCGGCATTTGGAGGCGTAGATGGTCTCAGAGAGTCCGCACTTGGACTCCCCCGCGAGGTTAAACACATAGTCGTAGGGACCAAACTCCGGGTTAAACGCACGGTCCACGTGCGCGTCACGGGTCAGGTCCGCCTGCACAAACGTCACGCGCTCGTCAGCAAACGCCTGTTTGTGCGGGGCACTGCCATGTGGGTACAAACACCAAGCGACGCCCACCACACGTCAGCGTAAAGAGACACAGAGACACAGCGACAGAGAGAGAGAGACACACACACGCAATGTCAGTGTAAAGAGACCGATAGAGAGAGAGAGAGAGAACGACAAAAAGCACGCGGTAGCGACGCACCTGAAGTAGGCGATCTCGGGCATTGTCTTGTCCGCGACACGCACAGCCGCCGCGACATCGTGATCCACCAGGTACTTGACAAAGTTGCGGCCGATCATGCCGGCGCCGCCGAGCACGAGCACGTTCGCGGCCGTCATACTTGTTCACTTGTGGACCGATCGCAGCGATTGGTGCAAATTCCAGCGTATCCACTGACCATCACTCCTGCTTCAGTTTACAAACAGCAACCTTCCGCACACACCCCGCGCGCGCACTCTCTCTGTCTCTGTCTCTGTCTCTGTCTCTGTCTCTGTCTCTCTCTCTCTCTGTCTGTCTCTCTGTGTGTGTCTTTGTGTGTGCACCATGCAGAGACTTCTCGCGCTGGTAGGCTTCGCTGTGACCGTATCGACGCTTCTCTATATGCAGCAAGAGCCCGACCCCCCCGCGCGCGTGGCCGAGCTCATCAGTGGCATGCCCTCGAAGAACGAGTCGCGCTGTGACGTTGCGAATCTGGACACGCTGCGCCACGCGGCGATCGTCTACACGTGGGTGAACGGCACTGAGACGTGCTACAACACGCGTCGCGAGCGCGCTGGACTGCCCCCTGGCGGCTCGTCCCGGGACAAGGAGATGGGCGAGCTCAAGTACTCGCTGCGGTCGCTGCTGAAGTTTGCTCCGTGGCTTGAAGGACCCATTTACATTGTCACGCCCGGTCAGATCCCAGACTGGCTGGATCGGTCGCACCCGCGCGTGCGGGTCGTGGACCAGGACGATCTCTTGCCCAGGGACAAGACGGCGCTGCCGACGTTCGACACGAACGTGATTGAGCAGTACTTGTACAAGATACCGGGCCTCACGGACGTGTTCATTCACATGAACGACGACTACTTGTTCATTAAGCCCGTGACGCCCGACCGGCTGTTCTCGTGCGACGGCGGGCTGCGTGTTTTGACCGAGATCAACCACATTCGCCACGTGGCGGCGCAAAACTCGAATTTGTGGCTCGCCAGTGTGCGCAACACTGTGGTGCTCACGGACAAGACGTACGGTGGCCAGCACGTGTACAACTTTCTGAAGCACGCGCCGTTTGTCTACAGTCGTCGCGCGTTCGAGAACATCCATGCGAAGTTTGGCAAGGAGCTCGATGCGATGCTGTCGCATCAGACGCGACACGCACAGGACCTGAACATGCCACTGCTGCACCAGATTTACATGCTGGAAGAGGGATCCAAGCTGCTGGGTATTCCAGTGGAGCTGAACCCGCTGAGTGAGTGCGACGACTGGCTGCTAGTGCGTCTGAAAGACAAGCAGGAAGAGTCGCTGAATGCGCGGTTCCAAAACGCGCTCGAGAACAAGGGCCCGGAGATCATGCTGGCGCTGAACGATGAGTACAAAAGCCCGGAGACAGCGAAGCTCGTTAGTCGATTCTACGCCCAGCTGCTGCCGGAAAAAGGCATCTGGGAACTGCCCGAAGGTCAGCACGTGAGCGTGGTGAGCAACTGGCACGGCGACGACTGCGTGTACGACCGGGACATCATCCCACTACCCGATTCCGACGTTGCGCCATTGTCGGGAGAGGACAAAGCTGCGAACTGGGTGCCGGCGCTGTCCCGGATCCGCTCGCCTTACGCGCGCGCCTTTGAAGGTCTGACACCGTCATTCGGATGGTACTTGGCCTCGAGCGTCGGCTACGTTATCGGCCTGGTCGTTGCGGCCGTGATTTCCGTATACGTCTTCCGGTTTTCGAGCAAACGTGCTGCTCCAGGGTCACACGCCGCGAAGCACACCTGAGCGACGGACAAGTGGTTGTGCTGCTTTACATTCTGGTTTGTTGTCGCTATGCGTGGCCAGTAGATGAACATACTGGTGAATGCGCGAGCTCTCACATGTGACTGTGGCTGCTCCGTCTTGACCCATTCCTACATACCTGCATCGATCTTCGTACAACTTTGGTGCGGCGGACGTCATAACGCACACATGGAATGGATCAACAAACAGCATGGACATTGCTGCGACATCTATTTTCGCACAGAACGCTGGCAAGTTTGTGCACGTCACTTTGTGCTGTACATGCGCGTTCTAAGCCTACCGACACGCGCCCAGAGCACGTCCATCATGCGCGCGGCGAGCTTGTGGTCCCGCGGTTCGGCCTTTGCCTACTGAAGCCTTCTGCACTTGTTCTGCCATGTTGAGCTGCTTACACCTTGTTGTACGCGCTGTTTGAGCCCGTCGGTGTCTTGTCGCGGCGCAGTACAAGCAAGTAGACGATGTACATGACAATCACTCCGAGACCAAAGGCCATGCCACGCAGTAGCGAGTTGGTAAACGCTACCCACCGCAGCTCGCGGTACGCAAGTACCTGGTACTTTGGTGCCGCTTCCACCCTCCGCGGAGATGGCGACAGGATTGTCGGGTCGACTTCGCATGTGCCAGGCTTGCGCACGGTAAGTGCGTGGGGCTCCGAGCCCGGCTTGCGCTCAAAGCTGCTGGGCTCAGGGAGGAACTTTTTGAAAAACTCCATGGCCGTGTCGGCCACGCGCATGTCCGAGTACTCGTCGTTGAGCGCAACGACTTTGAACGTCGAGGACCCGTCGATGATCTGTCCAAACATCTCCTTGAGCTTGTCAATGTTGTCGTTCTTCATCAGAATCAGCTTGTATCCAGTCATCTCGGACGCGGGAGGCGAGTAGACTGGAATCCCCAGCTCCTCACTGCCTTGCGACACCATGTAGTAATGATGCAACAACGGCATGTTCATGTCCGGCTTGGCACGGAACTTGCTCTTGAGCGTCATGTACAGCGGGCGGTCAAAGATCTGATGCACGCGCTCGAACGCGTGCCGCGAGTACACAAACGGTGCGTGCTTGATAAAATGGCGGTCGGTTTTCCCCCAGCGCAGGTCCATTTCCTGCTGCGTGTGCAGCACCGACGAGATCCAAATGCCTTTCTTGGCCACGGGCGGGACGTGCGAGATCAAGCCATTTTCATGCAAGAGGCGGATGCCGCCGTCGCACGTGAAGAACTCGTGCGGCGTAATGGGTTTCGTGAACAAGTAGTCGTCGTTCACTTGCATGTAAATGTCCGACAGGCCTGGAATCAGGTACAGAAACTGCTCAATCACGTGCGAGTTGAACGTCGGCATAAACTGCTTGGCGTACTCGGGGAAGAGCTCGTCCTGGTCAATCACTTTCACGCGCGGGTTGTTCAAGTCGAGCCACTCGGGGATGTGGCCCGGCGTGACAATGTAAATCTGCCCCACGTGCCACGTCACGTGCTTCTCGAACGACCGGAGCGAGTACTTGAGTTCGCCAATCTCGCGGTCGCGCGAGCCACCGACCGCGCGCTTGCCGCCAATTTTCTCCCGGAGCGCGCGGTAACACGGCTGACTGCCGTTGACCCACGTGTAGACGATCGACATGCGCCGGAGCTGCTCAAAGTTCTTGATCTGGCACTTGCCGGGCCACTGCTGCAGGAGCTCCTGCGTGTTGTACCGCTTGTCTTCGGCGTCCGAGAGCTTGTCGTAGGTCGACGGCGTCGGCAGCTTCGTGAGCACGTACAAGACCAGCAGCAGCGCACTGCAGGCGACGAGCAGCACGTAGCGCAAGTTGCGCTGGTGGCGCAGCGCGAGGCGCACGCGCACGCCGACGGGCGTCTTCATACTACAGCGCGCAGACGGATCTTACGAGACAATGACGACGACAACGACGACGACGTATGTGTATGTGTGTGTATGTTGGTGTGCGGGCGAAAGACTCTTTAAGTTAATGTACCCATGGCCACGGGTTTTGTGTGGGCCACACACGTGGCACGCACCGCGTGCTTTTTCAGAATAGGGGAAGGGCGACAACGAGCGACTAGGGTGTGGGTTTCCGAAGAAGGGGTAGAGGTAGGGGTGATGGTGACGGTTGGGGTTGGGGTTGTAGCTAATTCGTAGCGGTTTGCGCGTAACGTGCGACCGGATTCGGGCCGTCGACGCGTCGCAGTCGGCTGCAACGTCGCGGCGTCGGGGCCGATCCACAGCGATCGTGGCGCGAGGAACGACCGACGACCACTGGACGTGCGTCACGCAGACCCACTGCCTGCCGATCATATCGATGCGCGATGGGGGCACGGCGCCCGATGGGCCGTGTCTGTCGATCCACCGACTCGCATGACGAACGTTATCGCCGTTCGTATCGCCACGTACGGACCAAAAGTGGCGTTTCCAGGTGGCCCGAGCGTAAGGTCCCCGACAACACTGTGGCGAGGCAGTCGACTTTGGCGCACGCACGCACGGACTGCGGCCATTCTCGGGCCCGCCGTCTGGCCGCGAAAGATGGCAGAAAGTTGCGGTCGTCCGTCCGTCTGTCTATGCTTCCGCCGGCCAAATTTTCAGGCGCAGCGTGGGGTTTATGCACGTGCAAAAATTTCTGCAAAGTGTAGTTCCGCTGGGGTGGGCCACTTTGCCGGTCGACCTCTCGCTCGCTCGTTTGTTTGTTCGCCTGGACTGTGGTTGTGGTGTACCGCACACGAACTTGTGCGTCGTCCAGAAACACAGTGTGTATTTTTTAGCGTGTAGCAGCAGCAGCAGCTGCAGTCTCTCTCTCTCTCTCTCTCTCTCTCTCTCTCTCTCCCCCTCTCTCTCTCTCTCTCTCTCTTAGTATCTCTCTTTCAGTATCGCTTGTTGTCTATCTCGCGCGAGCGCTGCCCCAACCGACCCACGCCGTTGGGTGCGTTTCTTTCGATTTCTATTTCTATCGCTGGCGCTATCCCCGCGCGCCATTTCTCCAAGTCCAGTAGTCGCCGTACTGCGTCCAGAGCGCGTTCTCCGTGCGCCGTCCAGCAGCGCCCATCATGGCCGACGAGTGGCCCACTGCCGCGGCCGAGTACAAGATCATTGAGCAGATCGGCCAGGGCGCGTTCGCCAAAGTGTGGAAAGCCTACTGCGTGCCCAAGCGCATCCACGTGGCGATCAAGATCATGGACTTGGAAAAGATCACCACGAGCTTTGAAGACATTCGGGCCGAAGTGCAGACGATGAAGATGACGAACCACCCGAACGTGCTCAAGTGCTACTGCAGCTTCGTGCACAAGGACCAGCTGTGGCTCGTCACGCAGCTCATGAACAAAGGCTCGTGCCTGCACGTGATGAACCTGCTCAAGAAAAAGGGACTGGGCGAAGGCCTCAAAGAGGACTTTGTCGCTGTGATTCTCAACGAGACGCTCAAGGGACTGCTGTACTTTCACGAGAACGGCCAGATCCATCGCGACATCAAGGCGGGCAACATCCTCTTGGATAGCGAAGGCCATGTTGTCATTGCTGACTTTGGCGTCTCGGGGTGGATGATGGAAGGAGGGGATCGACGGAAAAACCGCCAGACGTTCGTCGGCACGCCCTGCTGGATGGCGCCAGAAGTCATGGAGCAAGTGCGCGGCTACGACTACAAGGCGGACATCTGGTCGCTCGGCATCACTGCACTGGAGCTGGCGAAAGGCTATGCGCCTTATGCGCGGTTTCAGCCCATGAAAGTGCTGCTGCTCACTTTGCAGGAGGACCCGCCGTCGCTCCGGACGTACGATGTACGTTGTTGGTGGTGGTGTTGGTGTTGTTGTGTCCATTGGTGGTTGTAGCACCAGAGGTGTTTGTGCTGGTGGGAGAAAGGAGGCTACGGCGAGGGACGAGACTGACGGTTATGCGATGGTATAGGATGATGGCAGCGGCCACCAGTTTGGACGGCACTTTAAAGATGTGGTCAAGCTCTGTTTGCAGAAGGACCCGTCCAAGCGGTAGGCCTCTTTGTTACACGCTGCTAGTGGTTATGGTTCTGTGTGTCGCTCGTGGCTCATCGTGCACTCTGTGGCGTTTCTCCAGTCCTGGCACGTCAGCGCTTTTGAAGCACAGCTTCTTCAAAAAGGCAGGAGGTACGACCTACCTTGCGCGGAACCTCCTGAACAACATCGAAGATATTGGAGAAAGCTGCATGACGGCCGGTATTGCAGACGCGCTGCCCGGGTAAGAAACGAACGACATGGCATAGCTACATGTGTGTGTATCCGTTTGGTTTACCGAGTTTGAATGTCGTTTGGTTTCGCAGCGCTGGACCGCTCTACGCAAAAGGGACGAAGGGACCTCCGGGCTCGGAAGCTGAGGGATCGAAGTACGTGCCGGGCACGACGTGGGTGTTCGACGACGAGGACGACGATACCGCCAAGTTGTCCATGGACGATTTCGCCAGCCAGTTTGATATGGTGACCGGGGGTGAGGAGTTCCGTTCGAAATAGCGCTCGTGGACACATTCAACCTGATACCCTCATGACGAATAGCTCGGGAGTAAGCAAAGTTTTTATCCGCAGACCAGAAGCAAGCAACCGCAGAAACATGATAATTGAGGTCTGTTCTGCTGTCTGTTGCTTGGCGACCTCCTTTTCCATCGGACTGCCGCATGTACTGAAAGAAAAGTGAAGGAGCAGGTTGACGCGCGATAGGGAACTGCTGAACGATGAAATGCATAAAATGCATAGATCGCGAACCCGAACCAACATACGAGCGGCGCTACCAGCACCAGTTTACTCTCACACGCCGCGGAAGATAATATGTGCGGTTTCGGAATAATGATGCTCCCTCCACCGCTTAATCAAACATGTCCAGCCGTGGCATTGTAGTGTGCGACGCCCGGTAGAGGCACACCTGTAGTCGAGCGGGTGTACTCTCTTGACCAAAGCGCACAACTACAGGCGGCACTCGCGGCAGCAGCAGAGACTGGGCGGATCGGATACAGAAGCCCGGCGAACAACGCCAGCAGAAGTGCTGGAACCAGTGACGCCATCGAGACCGCACACTTCGCACCGCTAAAGTAGAATAGCCGGCGCCAGACTTTGCCTTCGCCGTGATAACGCAACAAGCCACCCACTGACTTTCCACTCGTGTCGGCCTTTTCGTCGACAAGACGACTCAAAACAAGACGTTGGTCCCGGGAGATGCAGCTACGATTGGCGCGAGACAGCTCCATGTCCGATAACGCATCCAATGCACGGACAACACTTGACGCTGCAGGTGGAACAACCAAGAACACGAGCAATAGCAGAATGCCTACAGGCAATAGCAGTAGGGACAGCGGTGCACATACCACAGAGTACCGTAGCAGCCCTGACAGACTATGCGATTCCGTCCTTGCGGAGGAGGCAGAAATCGCGAGTCTCTCGTCCGTGCTGCGCGTAACGGAAATGGAAGTTGCCACCAGTGAATCTGCCATATGAATGTTGCCACTCTTCTGCTGCTTCGGGGAGACATACGAACGATAGTCGGATCCAGCTGTCTCCTGCATATCGGCGCTGTCGTCATTCACATCTTTCCGCCCATCAACGTCGGCATGAGGAGGTCCCGAAGAGCCCGGCTTGCAATCATATATCAAGTTCTTCGAATCGGTGTTGATACACGAATCATCATCCATACATGTGAGTTTGACTTCCGGCAGGTTGAGCTTGGATGCCAACAATCGATCGTCGCCCGCGACGCTATTGCTCGGCAGTTTGCTTTCAGCCAGTATACAACTGCTTCGAGCGCTATCGTCGCTGAATGACGCACCCGATAACAATTCGCGCTGACCCAAATGTACCTTGACCTTCTTCTTCTCTGGCAGTTCGTCCGCACGTATCAGCTTGTCGTTGTCGTTTCCACCGACATATGCCGGTGATTCTCCGCTGCTGCACACTTCTCCAGTCTGCTTGTTGCGCTGCCGCAGAAGCGTGCGCGTATTGCCAATCCGAAAGTTGGCCGACTTCGTGTGACCCAACCGCTCGAATGTCGTCCTTTCGCGAGCATAAAATACATCAATCTCAAAGAAGTACAAGAACTCTGCTGCCGTAGAGTCACTACCAGCCGCCGCATCGTCCGATGACACATCCAGATTGGAGCTCTGTACATGGCGCCGTTTCTTCGGAAGCGCAAACTCGAATTTCCATACGTCCGGGTGGAACATCACGTCGAACTGCACACCATCTGCGCCATTCTCAGCGGACGCAAAATGACTGATCACGCCAATTGTACTGACATTCTGCAGCGACTTCATCTCCGATACACTCAACGACTGCTGCTCTGTGAGAGCCTTTTGCCGAGAGAAGGTACTGTTGCAGCGAGCCAATACCGTCAGTCCCGTCTGTATTACCGAGGCACGTACTGCTGCAGGAATCGAAACACGCGCTTTTACAGGAGCATGGCAAACACCCTTGCACCGGTGCTGAAGATCCTCAATACGCACACGGTAATAGTCGCCGTGTTCCGGACAATACGGGAAGCACTGAATGTTCTTGCGGTCATTGCGCCAGTACTTATCCAGGAACTGCGTCTGGATATCGATGACAGTGGATGATGGCGAGTCTGGAGAAGCAGTCTTGCTGTTATTGGCACTTGCGGGCACCGTCAAAAAGGGGTTCAACATTTCAGCACCCTCGAGCTTTACGTCGCTCATGACAACATCGTTTTTCGTTGCGTTGTCGTAATCGAAATCAAGACTGTGAATCTTCTTGAACGGCCGGCTCCGTCCCTCCTTCGCGATAGGATTACGCGCAGGTGCAGTGGGACCTGCGTGCATTTCTCGTTGCACAGCAACCGTGACATCGTTTTCGGACAGGAAGTAACTCGTCAACTCATCCAGCTCATCCACGTCAAAGTCCAACGAGTTTGATGCCGTTGGCCCTGTCAGAACCGTGCCATAGTTGGCAGGCTCGGCCATCTTTTCGATTTCACTACTACTTCGAATGGCCGTGGAGCACATTCTGTTGCTATCGTTAGCACCACGTTCCTCGGCCATAGTCCCGTTCGACGAAGAATGAAACGAAGACGCGTGGTCGATATCCTTGATGATCTGGTCCAAGTTATCGCCCCGTATAAATGAGTCCCCAGCCGAACTGATGACTGCCATGGGCAAACCGTCGCATGTCTTGTCCTGTCCTTGCTGCTGCTGCTCGTCAACCGAAACTGCTCCGACATGGTCCGGCAACAACTTTTCCGCACCACCATACGACTCTGCAAAGGACTGTTCCGCGCCTTCCGGAAAACTAAACTTGAGTGAGCTAGACACATTGCTCGAGCGCCGGCCAAAGAAGGGCGCAGTTTCCACGTTTGCAGAACTCACGTCCAAGCTATGGGTCAGCGCTTCCATCAAATTGAATGTGGCAGGCATACCAGCTGGAGAAGGAGCCATCGGTGGTACCAGAGATAGCGTAGCTGTAGGACTCGTGATCTGCTGTTCCATCGTAAACTCCTTTTTAGGCGATACTGAAGCGGTGTCTGACCAGGGGGATCCTGCGGGGGAGCTTGAAGAGCACACGCACTCGCTCTGAAATTGAGACAGCCCAAGAGGGTTCACAAACCTGTCGCACTTGTGGCAAAAGTTGGCAAACTTGGCGAATTTCTGCGGATAGTTCGTCCCGAGGTACTCGTCGTACGCACGGGCAGCTTCTTCCGGCGTTCTGCACGTATTCGTGATGCGTTTGGCGCTGTACTTGGCACCCCATGATGTCTTGCTCGTCTGCGTCACGCCGCGGTACTTGGAAGTCTAGAAGAACCACAAGTGGTACACCCAGCCATATACACAACACACAGCCAGCAAACGAAAGAAGAGTCAGCTCTGCACCATAACCAGTCTGCAACCAACGACAATAGCATCCGCACCTTGCTCTTCATCGAGCTCGTGGATGTACCGTGCGGCTGCTGCTGGCTGCCCGGAGTGACTGCCATCAGCTCTCGCGTCGTGAGACCCCCCGCTATGTCCACGAGCTCGCTAGTCTTTGCAGTCTGCAAGAACGACATGTCACGACATCGAAATTCATCGGACAGCGTCATGATCGAGTGGTCCGACTCCTCGGAAGTGTATCCACTCGAAGTGCTCAGCGGCGTATTGCTCGGCGTCAGTGGGGGCGCTACAATGAAATCTACACCGACCAATTACACCGCACAAACAGAAAGAAGACGAAAAAGAAGAAGAAGAACCACCAAATGAACGAGTCACCACCACAACAACAATAGGAAGAAAAAGTAGTGATAGGCATCATAATAAATATCATGATAACAGCCATAGCAACGAGAATAATCATTAGATTGGCATGAGCGTAACAACAACACTAACAATTAGCCACAACGACAGCAGCAGAAGGAGCGATAGAACGCGCCATGGAGACGGCCGAACGTGCCTTGCAACAACGTGGTCCCGGGCTCCTCGAGCTCGTGCAGATGCGCGTCCAAGAGGTCGAACTCCTCGCACGTGGGCAGTGGCTGCGTCCCCACCATATGCGTCGTAGGGGTCGAAGTCGACGTCGTGCAGGCAACGGGCGACAGCTCCGTCCGTGCCAATTGACCGCTGATCGGCGATGACAACGAGACGACGGGGCTCGTTTGCTGGTCTGGTGTCGCGTCGCGGAGGTGAGAGGGCACTCGAGTGAGTGTGCACCGAGTAACTGCGAGACTGACCAATTGACCAATTGACCAATTGACCAATGAACTGACTGACTGACTGACTGGTCAGTTGCCTAACCAAATGACTGATTAAGTGACTGGCGAGTGAAAGTGGCAAAGCGGTCGTTCTTCTGGTCGCAATTGAGGGGGAGGAGGGAGAGAGGGGGGAGGGACGACACCAGCTGAACTCTGAGGCATCGATCGAACTTGCGACGCGGGGACTGCAGCAGCGGTATGGGTTGTGGAGCGGCACATGTCGCAGAGTTCGCCCCACGACGTTTTGCGCCGGTCGACAGCAGTGACGCATGCGAGTGGCTCCGTAAGCAGGTGGGGGGTTGGCTGCCTCGTCTGCAAGGGGATTTCGGTGCCAGAGACCAGGCCGCGCCGGCCGTCTGCTTCCAGCCCAAAAGCTGTTGCGGCCTTTTTTTTTACCCCCACAGTGGTTATGGACTAGGGGTGGGGGGCCAAGCGTGTCGGCGAACAGAGGCGCTTGCGGGCAGACAGTCTGCCACTGTTCGTCGGACACAGTCGTGCCGCCTGAAGCGAAGCGACTCGTTCTGACGCTATTTTAGGTGTCCTGCCGGCCACAATCACAACACGTACGGGCGTTCGCTTCGATCAGCCAGAAGCCGTCAGGAAATCTCTTGACGGTGATACGCAATTGCCGCGACCTTCGCACTCGTGTTCCTCGCGGATCCTCCTGCCCTGAAGTTTCGAGACGAGTTGGACTCGGGCGATCCATTCGAGCAGCCAACAACAAACGATGACGGACGGACGGACGGTTGCACCTGTTGTCGTTGGGTCGAGGAGCGCTCGACGCAGTGGCAGTCGCCGCAACAAGTCGCGGCGATCGAAACCCACAGCGATCGATGCACGGACGTCGAGACCTGGTCCATCCGCCCCTGTCTGATTGACTCGGAGAATGCTCGCAGCGAGCCGTGCGTGGAGGAACTCGACGACCACTGCATCGTGATTATGCACGTTGAAGTGCGTAGATGGTGGAGGCGTTCCACGCACCACCCATGTCGTTTTCGCCTGGACTGTCTGCGGTCGCACTGGATACGAGCGGACGCTCACTCCCTCGGTCGAGTGACTCGGATATTGGATAATAAGTATCCGGCTTTTTCCACGCGACGGCATATCGGACACTCGGGCGAAAATGACTAACACGCACGTCGAGACTCGCAACGACCTTCTGCCACTTACTCGGTCGAGTGACTCGGATATTGGATAATAAGTATCTGGCTTTTTCCACGCGACGGCATATCGGATACTCGGGCGAAAATGACTAACACGCACGTCGAGACTCGCAACGACCTTCCGCCACTCACTCGGTCGAGTGACTCGGATATTGGATAATAAGTATCCGGCTTTTTCCACGCGACGGCATATCGGATACTCGGGCGAAAATGACTAACACGCACGTCGAGACTCGCAACGACCTTCCGCCACTCACTGGTAGTCACGAAGTGCGCCACGTCTCCGTCCGCGGCCGCTTTGTCCGCAAGCGCAACTTATCGTACGTCCTGCGGGCGCCCTCTTGTGCACTGTACCTGGTCTGTGGTGCTTTCTTACACGTCGCTGTCGTCTATCGCCTGTCACTTTCGTTCCAGCAAAGGCCTCGTGTTCGGCGACGTCGAGCTGCAGGATGGACGTGCGTCCAGTGCTTTCCAGCTGTCTCCATACCGTCATAACTCGGTGCATAGTGCTCATGTGGTGCCTGATGTGGTGTACTGTTTGTCAGAGCTTCTCGAGGTCATGATACGCGCACAAGCAGGTATCCTGGACCTCGCTGCTATCCGTCAGCTGAACCGGGACGTGCACCTTGGCGACCTGGTTACAGCTCACGGCACGTTGCAGCGTAAACGACACGAGCTGGAAAGCCTTGATGGATGGATGCTCCTGCTCCATTCCATGCACGTGGACGAACTCGGGAGTCTGCGACACGCGGGCACTGTCTTCAGCTACACGGACTCGAGCGCTACGTCGTCTCCCAACTGTGCTGCTGGAAATGGATCGTGGGTGTTGCCGCCTTCGTCAAAGGCGAAGGCAGGCAACAAGTACACAAACATGGTCGTCATCGACGGTTTCAATGCCTGCAAATTCTACTTCTCCTCGTCCGGTGGCGCCAATTGCCTGCGTGGCGAGCAGTGCCATTTTTGGCATGGACAGCCAGAGCATTTCGTGGAGAACCGACGCCGCTGGATGAAAAAGCGTCTCGAACAGCGCGCGAAAGCTGCACATCTTGCTGGTGACAGCGGTGATCCTCACTCGAAGATCGGCAAGGCTCAGCGTAGCCGTATCTTCTGCGACTGGCTTGTAAGCTCTGTCGGCGAGGAGCAGCTTGCCAGCGGAACGGGTGTCATTGATGTTGCTGGCGGTAAAGGCGATATTCCAACCCAGCTGTGGATCCAACGAGGTATCCCAACAACGCTCATTGACCCGGTACGTAACAGGCGGAAAAGACCTACGTGGCTCATTGTGCCGTCCACATAGCTGACTCGTGAATCTTCTGGTGCTTGTGTGTGCTGTAGAGACCTATGAAGCTCGGCAAACACAACCGGAAACTCGTTGCCAAAGCCGAAGCCACAACGGGTCGCAAAATGAGCCCTCAATTGCTGCGCTGCCTGGACGACGAGACACTGAGGCTGCACATCGAGCTGTTCACAGACTGCTCTCTTCTTGTTGGAATGCATCCAGATGAAGCCACCGAGGCCATTGTCGACATTGCTCTAGCACTAGGCAAACCATTTGCTATTGTGCCTTGTTGCGTGATGAGCCGAGTATTTCCACATCGCATTTGCCGTGATGGCACGCCCGTCGACACGTACGAAACGTTCGTGAGATATCTGTTGGAGAAGCATCCATCCGTTCAGAGCGCATTCCTGCCGTTCGCTGGCCGCAACCAAGTGCTATACCTTTTCGACTACGACAAGGGACGAAATACTGGTATCGACGTCGTTGATCCAACAAGCCCGTAAGTGCAGGCTGGTACTCGATTACTCAAGACATCGCTTCATGAATCATTCTGCCTGCGGCTGGCTTGCTAGCGCGATTTAGATCTGCAACTTCTTCTGATTCCGAATAGCATTTCGCGCGTCCAACGTAAGCGGAAGCAGCCGAAGTACGCGGTCGATGGGTCGGTCGCAAACCATGCAACCAGATTTCATACGATGCTGGCGCTTTGCACAGGCGTAGCAACAATACACATGAAGATATAGACCGTGCACAACCCCCGCGTTGCGTGGGCTTGCGTCGCACATCAAGCACATGAGATCGTCGATGTCCTTTTCCTTGAACAGGTGCTCTTTTTTCACTTCACCGATCGGCGACGAAAGCTGATGATCCTGCTCTTTCTTGCCTGCTTTGTCTGGTGCCTGAAGCGGCGAGCCCTTGATTGCCCCCTCCTCTTCATCGTCAGTGGCCTGATCGACATCGTTCCTTCCGCCCGCAACTGCACGTCTCCTCTCCTCTTCCACCTTCTCCATTGCTGTTTCTTCATCGTCTGCACCCTCTTCTTCACTTTCAGCGACAAATGCATCCAGCGTACCTCGACGAGATCCTGACTTCCTCTCCGATGGTGCCCTAGTTGGACTCGAGAGAAAGTCACTAGTCACATTGCGTGCCGTAATCCTCTTCCATACGTTCGACATCACGATACTAACTCGTTTCGAGTCTTCAGCAAATTTGTCCACAACGCTCATCAACCTCTTGTACCGACCAAACTCTCGCGTGAAAAAGTCGGTGCGGTATGGTTGAGCAATTCGTCCCGTCATATCCGCGCACTCCTTGAGCTTAGCATCGACCAAGACGCACCAAAACTGTTTGGCATGCAGCAACTGCCAATACGCTAACGTGCGCTACAAAAGTTGACCATGACACAAGTCTTAGCTTCTGTTACCGCTCTCTGCAAGAAGCAATATAACAACAAGAGATCGTACCGCATGACAAACGCTGCCCATTTCGAAAGCTGTCCGGACAGAAGGTGCGTCCAGCACTGTCTCCTTAAGGCTGGCCATCAACAATCACACAACTGAGCGATCATGCAATGGTACCGCACGCAGAACAATGTATGTGCAAACGTACTGCCGCATCCAATCGTGTCTGTAGAGCTTCGTCGCATCACAAGCCGAGCCAGCAAATTCCACATGGTAGGTAGCAACATGCTGGCGCCGGTTGCAGGCGTCACAGTCTCGTTCCGCAGACAAATGACTAGAACGGAATTGCAAAGCATGCTTCAGTGCATCTACCATGTCTTCAGGCCATGCCACGCCTGACCGGACGGTGTCTCGGCAGGCGCAAAGTTTGCGCTCAATCTACAAGTCGAATGCCAGACAACAAGTGAGTGAACGCTCTGACAAGCCAACAACTGAATCTAGCAAACTCACGCGATCGACGGCCTGGACATAGAGCTGGTGCTTCGCCTTGGATCGTTTGCGACGCATCTTGGTCTCGAAGTCGGGGTCGATAATGCACTCTTCTAGATATTCCAGATAGATACTGAACCATTCGATAATCTCCCGTGAGCGTCCTGCTGCTAGCATGGCTGTGAACTCCTCAGGGTCATCTTCCATCTCGTCGTCCGACGTCTCTACATTGATCACACCTTCCTCATCGTCTTCCATGTACTCAATCTCATCGTCGTTACATATGAAATCGTCCACGTCCTCCCCGCCATCCGCATACACCTTTTCACAATGATCCCGCTCTCGCGGCAAAGACTGCCGACGTATCTTTAGCGGTGGCTCTGCCACCTCCCCTTGTTCAAGCTCTTCCCAGCCACCATCATCATCACCATCATCATCGTCAACGACAACATCATCGTCGTCCTCACCTCGATAATGCGAGCCTGAACGTTCTGGCTCGTCCAGACAGTTGTCCAGCACCGGGTAATCCAGTTTTCTTGTTCTGCCAAGCTTCACTTCCTTTACTAGACGCTTGTGTTGAATCCTCGAGCTGCGTCGAGATGCGGACGATGATGCCCCAGTCACTTCCACTGATTGCTTTGTCTCCAACTTCTGCTGCTCTTTACGAGCACGCTCGGGCGTCTCGTCATTTTTCTGGATCACAACGCGTTCGCCTTTGCACGTGCTACGCTCTCGGCTCGTCCCAGCGCCAGCAGACAGCGGCTCGATGATGCAAAAGCTGTCCCCGCCATCATCAGTCTTGCCCTCCTCTTGTCGCTGACGTCGACTACGATATCCATGAGCCACTGCCGTTGATATCGAGAGCTGCTGCAGGTGCCGACGGGAGCGACGCGTCGGTGTCGGTGTCCGCAGCGTCATGGGCTGCAATGCAACACCTCCTCTGCCCAGCGACAGCTGCTGCTGACGTCGTGGGACAAGCGACAAGCCGGTGGTCCCCTCAGTCTTTTTCCTCTGCTTCTCCGCCTCCCCCAACACTCGATCGTCCATTTTTGCGCCGGCATCGTCGCCCTCTCGCCCTTCTTCTCCATCTTCTTCTTCTTCTTCCTCCTGATCCATCAGAATGTTCGAGCGTCGACGGCGACGGCGTTTGCGCGACTCGGGCGTAATGATACACACGTCGTCGTCGTTGTCGTCTTCGGTCGAGTCGCCATCGATCACCACTTCCTCGTGCTCGGCCATAGTCGTCGGATGCGTGCGGTCACGGGATGCAGGACCGGAATCGGTCTGATTGGTGGAAACGGCTGCACAAACGAGCACAACATTAGCGACTGACGGATTTTCTTCGAATCAACACACCTTTGCGCTGTCTTGTGGGATATGATTGGATGAAACCGTGCGGAGTCGCACGCATGGGATCAACGCGCGACAGCAAAAACACAACAGCACATCCCTTCGTCACGGGTTATCCTGGTTTCTTATCTGGCTTTCGACCAATACTGCTTCTGCTGACTTTGTGTCTGTCCCAACATGGAGTGAGCTCTGCCCTCGGGATACGTTTTACAGCATAGGAAAGAACGTAGTCGTCACGTGGTCAAACGAGCGAAGAGCAGGAGATTGAGCTCGACATGATCTCATGGACCCGCACTTTTGTTCTACACGCGTGACGACAGCACAGTGGTTACTGGTGATTGGGAAGAGCGACGCTACTCGGTGTTTCTGGCGCTATCTTACAGCAATGGGTAGCGTAGAGGTGCCGGGCATGAGTCGATGTCCTCTGGCTGAAGCAACTAATTGGATTCAGACCTTGTCGGTCTGACCGCTTCATCGTGATCACATCGACTCGCTGACCTTACAAAGTCTCGAAGTAGAGCGCATTGGCGCGTCGTACACGCAACGGCTCATGGCCACCCGCATCAGCGAGTGCGCGGATCAATGGAAAACAGATACAGGTCAAACATGTCGACAGAGGTATTCTCAGCGGTTCATAAAGCGTTGCAATGGTAAGCTGACACGACAGGCGAGCAGCTCCGTTTGATCGCTGATGGCACTAATGTGTTTTCGTCCTGAGCTTCGGCTTTGGTGCTTATGTGCAGATGGTAGAGCATTGACTGCTCGACAGTGCTCGAGACTCGCACTCGACCTGAATGTAGCGAGCACAAAGCTGTTACGTCAATTCCGCTGCTCAACTGCTCTGTTAAAACGATTCTACTTGCTCCGCTAATGCTGATTCTTACACTGGTGTGCGTGCCCACTCGCACATTTCATCATGAAACCGACGATCAAAGCACTTTTCCTATCTTTCTTTTTCCGCTCGGATGCAGCCCAGTCGAGTGCCGATCGTTTCGACCTGCCCCGTGAAGTGCGCCTTAGGTTCGCACTCGCCACCCAACCCGCATGGCCAGCAGCAAGCGCCCGCACGCCCGCCGCGACGACGCCGACAATGCCGCCCCGTCAACTGCGCTCACGGCCGCGTCCGCGGCGCAGCTGGTCAAGCGCTCGCGTCTGACCGAGATCGTCGCGGTCGACGCGGCCGTCGTCGCGTCCACGCGCGTGGACGACCGCACGTCGCGGCTCCCGGCGCCCACGATGCTCCTCTCGGGCCACAGCGCCGCCGTCTACTCGCTCAAGTTCAGTCCCTGTGGACAGCACGTGGCGTCGGGTTCGTTCGACCGCAGTCTCCTGCTCTGGCACGTGACTGGCGCGTGCCGGAACTATAACGTACTTAAGGGTCACAAAAACGCGGTCCTCGAAGTGCAGTGGACGTACGACAGCACGCAGCTCGTGTCGGCGTCGGCGGACAAGTCACTGGGCCTCTGGGACGCCGAGAGCGGCGCGCGCGTCAAGAAGTGGACGGGCCACACGTCGGTCGTCAACAGCTGCTGCCCCGTGCCGAGCGGCCCTACGCTCGTTGTGAGCGGCAGCGACGACCGCTCGGTGAAGCTCTGGGACGTGCGGTCGAAGCCCGCGGTCAAGTCGCTCGAGGGCGCGTATCAGGTCACGGCCGTGTGTTTCCTGGCGGACAATGCTCAAGTTGCAGCCGGCGGACTTGACGGCGAGATCCACGTGTGGGACCTCCGCAAAGACGCCGTGGCGACGGTGCTCCAGGGCCACGCCGACGTTGTCACGGGCGTGAGCCTCAGTCCGAACGGCGCCTACTTGCTGTCGAACGCTATGGACTCGACCGTGCGCAAGTGGGACGTCCGGCCGTTCGTCACGGGCGAGCGCCTCAAGACGACGTTCATGGGCGCCAAGCACAGCTTTGACCGCACGCTCATTCGCTGTGGCTGGTCGGCCGACATGCGCTATGTCGCGAGCGGCTCGGCTGATCGCAACGTGTACATTTGGGACGCCGAGACGGGCAACTTGCGGTACCTGTTGCCAGGACACACGGGCAGCGTGAACGAGGTGACGTTCCACCCGACAGAGCCGATCGTGGGCTCGTGCAGCAGCGACAAGACCATTTATCTGGGCGAGCTGGCCGAGCTATAAGAGCTCAACTGACACGACGACGATGACGCGGAGCGCGAGCTGATGGGGCGACAACGGTATGGTAGACGCGCCACATCTACTTAAATTGCACACGGACGTTTAAGTTTACTATCATTGCTGTCGTCTACTCAGAACACGACGCTGGGGGACTGGAGACCAGCAAAGTTTTCCCAGATGAGTGGATAGCCTTCGTCTTCGAGGCGCTGCTTGAGCTCGAGGGCGTGCTCGCTCGACTGTGTCTCGACGACGCACTTCACGGCAACGTGAGAGATACTGGCATGCACCCAGGCCCGTTCGTGGTAAATGTCCTTGACACTCACGCCGAAGTCGCGCAGAAAGCAGGTCAGCTGCGCAATACCGCCAGGACGGTCACTCACGGTCGCCACGAAGCGCACGAGGCGGCCATCAGCAGCGAGACCGCGGTCAATCACTCGACCGAGCACGGGCGTGTCGATGTTGCCGCCTGTAAGCGGCAGCACAACGCGCTTGCCCTGCAGCTCGGGCAACTTGCCGTCAATCAGAGCCGCGAGCGAACACGCGCCTCCGCCTTCCACGACAACCTTTTCTAGCTCCACGAGACGCAGCACGCTCAGGGCGATCGAGCGCTCCGAGACAGTCACGACCTTGTCCACGTACGTGCGCGCAATCTCGAACGCGTTGGCACCGACGCAGGGCACCGCCAGACCGTCTGCGAGCGTCGGCTTTGTCGGCATGTCCACGGGCTTCCCGGCCTTAAGAGCTTCCGAAAAACTCGCACAGTACTCTGGCTCGACACCCTAACGCAACGCACAAGCATCCCACGCACAGCCGTTAGAACGAACGTCGAGCTCCACAGCACGTGTGGCTACTATCGGATGCTCGCGATTCATGCACGCACAACGTACAATCACTTGAACGTTCGGCGACAGCGTCTTGACGGCAAGTGCGATCCCGGCGATCAAGCCGCCACCTCCAATCGGTACGACGATCGCGTCAACGTCCGGTACCTGGTGCAAGATCTCGATGCCCATGGTCCCAGCACCAGCAATGATCTCTGGACGATCGAACCCGTTAATGTACATCATGTCCTGTGCAACAGCAACAACAGCAACAACAACAACACCGTTTATCTCTCGTCAGTGGTCCGTCTCGACCTCTTTTCCATCATCATCATCACGTCCAGCAGACCCCTTCCGGTCGTTGGCTCGCTCCTCTCTCTCTCTCTCTCTCTCTCTCTGGCGTACCTCGTCCCGCACAAACTCGTCGGCTTTTTCCCGAGCTTGAAGAATGTGCTCCCCGTGCAGCACAACGCGCGCGCCAAGTTCCCGACACCGCATGATTTTGGTCAGCGGTGCGACTTTGGGCATCACACACGTCACGGGGATGTTCAGCAGACGGCCGTGGTACGCCAGGGCGAGCGCGTGGTTCCCTGCGGACGCCGCCACAACGCCGTGCTGCTTCTCCGTGTCCGTGAGCTGCAAGAGGGCGTTCCGGGCGCCTCGTTCCTTGAAGCTACCAGTCATCTGGCGATGGTCTTTCTTCAGGTAGAGCTCGACGCCCATGCGCTGCGACAGCAGCGGTGTGTACTCGCAGTGCGTCTGCTGAATGCCCTCGCGGATGCGAAAGGACGCCGTGCTAATGTCTTCGAACGACACGGGCTCGGGCTCGCCCCCTGGAACTATAGCAGACGACGACACCAAAGGAGAAAAAGAAGACAGACATATGAGTCACAACACAGGACGTGTTGGTCGGCGGGGGCCCCAGTGGTGACGTCGCGAACGATTGGCCGACGTGTTGCAACGTGCGACACGCACCTTCGACTTGGGCGGAAAAGGCGCGTGTTGCGTGGGCCACGAACGGGCGGGAGCGAGTGCAAGAGACTGCACGGCGAAGCAGGAGGAGTCGTGTTGCGCGGGACATGGCAAGTTCAAGAGTGAGGCGGACTGAGACTGGGCAGCGTCGTGTACCCTGTCTGACTGGGGTCTAATCACCGGATCAGAGAGGGGCATCCAATACAAGTGGTGCACCCCATCGTTGAACTAGCGACGAGCGGGCGAACACTTGATTATCAGATGGGATGTAGCCATCTGTCTAGCTCACGGATTGACTGGCACGAAACAGACACGTAAGTAAACACGTGCTGCCAGACAGAGGTGGGGTGCGGAACTCGGACGTGCACTTGCTGCACAGGCCACGTCCGGTGGTCACTTTAGATTACTTCGACCTACTCACAGGTACTTCTTCACGTGCGTTGCTAACGCCTGCTCTTCCATTGAGTCACCCAACGCTGCACTCTCGCCTCCAAAGTCCGACGGAATGTTCCTGATGTCAATCAATTTCTCCAGCTCGCGGAGAATGGCAGAGCCCCCTTTGAGCATGTGGACCTACCGTTGCACGCGCACACACACACAAATGAGATCATTGCGTGTCCTCTGGTGGCAACCAACGCCACGCAGCTACGCACCTTTTCGCGTGTTACAGGGTCGATCACCGGCTTCACGATGCGCCAAACCATGTTGAACCAGCCAGGGATGTTGATGATTAGAATGTGGGCACTACGCTCGGGGTAATGGGCACCCGTGAACGCAGACGCGCGCTTGATAAAGTCCAGCACCTCTCCGCCGAGGTCGTACATGCCGATACCCGTCACATCCAGCACCGTGATCGAGCGACCTGCGTCGTCTGGCTCGACCACGCGCCAGAGGTACTCTGTCACGTACGTATAATGACGCAGCAGATCATCCATCGAGAGTCCTTCACGCTTGAGTGCTGCGAGATCGATTTTTCCTGGCCGTTCATAGTATACGGGTAGACCCTCGCGGCTCCTGCCGTGGAAATACTGGGGGTAATACTTTTTGATAATTTCAAAGTTTGGATGCGGCCTCACCAAGATGTCGTCGATGCCGCTGCTCTTGCGCCACTCCAGCGTAGCCAGGTACCTTGCTCGGCCCTTTGCGACATCGCCCTTTTCAGCGGCAATAAAGCGAGGTGAAAACGCGATCGGTCCACCACTGATTGCTTTCACTTCAGTCTCCGAAGGGTCACTTGCAATCGCTACAGATGACGCCGTGTCGGGCAGTGCGATCTCGCCAAATTGATCTACTTCTTTCACTTCGACTTTGTTGATCGTCAAGTAGTATACGAGTTCATTTTCCACTGTAGACACAGCTTTTCGAGACCCGCAAATCGGTAGCAAAACGTAGCTCAAGCGCTTGCGGCTCTGGCCATCCGATAAACTACGAAATCCGCGTACAACATGTCAGTCTTGAGCGCGTACAACACTAAGCATCAATCGAGAGCCTACCAAATGACGAACTGCGCGATTTGCGAGACAGAGAGGACAAAGCCGAGCACGATCGTGATCTTCATTAGCCCGACAAAAGGTGCCGCGCAGTAAGAAGACACCAAACAGCATATCAGGAAGAGTCCGCCTAACATGCCGGGAAAAGTCACAGTGAACGTCGATGGTAGCGACGACATCACTGGCTGGGGGCTCGACTCTCGTCGTGCAATAGGTACTGGGGGGGGCCGTACGCATCGGAAAGAAACTGCACACAGCACAACAGGTCAAGCGACGTATGTGCTTGCCAATACAGTACAATATAGAACGGTACAATACGCACCCGATACTCGGGACATCGACATGGTCTGAGATCGCGGTAATTGACTGCGTACTGGAGTCGTCAGGTCAAGCTGCTTGGTGCTTGTAAGTAGACTTTCAATATCGTTTCCCAGCATGTACCGCGAAACGCGGATCTCTTCACCGTCACTCAGCATGATAACACACACGTCCTTTTGCTCGAATACACCCAGCTGCAGTTCCGTACAAAGCTCAATATTTCGCTTGACTAGCCGTTCCATCGAGTCCGATACGCTCGACTGTCCAACGATCATACTAACGACAAGCACGGAAGGTATCGGACGCTAACAACGGTGGTGCACCGACAACGTCAGTAATCAGATTGCACTTTGTGTCGCAAGTCATTCGCAGGCACTTACCGTAACGGGCGTCGTCGCCGTTTCCATCTTCGTAGGTGATTCCGCCACTACTTCTTCGATCTCTTCGTCGTTGCTGCAGCTACAACATCGCATCTGTCAGGACCCATCGCCCCCTCCCCCACTTCATCAACCGACAGCTCCGATCACATACCCGGAAGTCGCTGAAACAAACATCTGCATAGTCTCTGCTGTCCATCGTGGCGCAAAGTCGACGCTTTTCGCCGTATGCACGGCATTGTTGATAATGCTGACCCAGCTGCTAGCATACTCGAGCGAGTCCGCGCGCAGAAACAGTAACAGCGTCTTTCGTTTCTGCACCAATGAACAACCAACACAGCAACAAAGCAACAAAACACAACACACAATACACTCAGTATTCTGCACTTGCACACTGAGCGCCATCGACGAGAGCTCGTACCGACAGTACGGCAATGTAATACGACACGCGTCCAGGCTCAACAGCACCAGCAGGAGCGTCAGTCGGCAGCACGACCTTCGAGTACGAAATGTCGGCCAGCAGTACGTGGCCGCGCTCTTTGCCAAAGAGCTCCGCCTCCTCTGTCTTGCGGTAGTAGTGCACACTGCGCGTGGACAGCACAAAGAGACGCTTGGTCCAGCCACCCCGTACAGCGCCGTCCCGTCGCTTGTCCAGCGCTCCCGAGGCTAGGATGCCCAGCTGGGAACCGGGGAACAGTCCAGCCAGCGACCCGATCTGATCTGTCTGCAGCAACGGCGCAGAGAACGCACTGGGCACGGAGCTCACGTGGCTGAGGCGGGGCGATATGCTGTCGCCCGAGGACGTGGTGGACGGCGGCGCCGAGAGCATTGCGGGCCGAGAAGATGTCACGGAGATGGACATGCACTGGGTCGTCGTCTTCTTCTTCTTGTTGTTGTGCGGTCCGTACCACGCGCTGCAAGGGCACAACGACAACAACAACAGGCGCAGCAGCAGCAGCCGGTGGAGGAACCACTGCGATGTCGACGAGACCGGCACTATTGACCGAGCGGGTCGGAGGTGGTCAGTAAAGTGAAGGGGATGTTTGTCGCGGTCGGTTGATACCGGTTTGTCGTTTTGGCTGCGGTGGACTGTACCGTTTCGCTGTCTCGATACCGAAAAGCGACGCGATAGAAACGCTGCGGCGATTGCAGTCGACCATTTCCGCTCGTTTTCCGCTGCTATTGTTGCTGCGGCTGGTGGTGGTGGTGGTCGTTTCTATTGGTCTGAAAAATAGCGTGCGCTATTTCGATGTGGATGTGCTGCTGGTTATCGCGTTTGTATCGTTGCGCAGCGTCTGCTGCAGCGCCCTCTGGCTACTTACACAAAACAGCCGGGAAATCTCCCGCGCCTCTCGAAGGATGGAAAAGCCTTTCCCAACGGCAGACTCTGATTGGTCGACACGTGCGCGCAACCCGACATCGAAGAAGGAAAATCAGATTCGAGAGGGTTGACGACCGCGCCCTCGTTTCTCGTGCTCATTTTCGAACTGGCGCCGTCGATAGAAAGAAAGAAAGAAAGAAAGTGGAGCAACCGCATCAGCGCGTCTTCCCCCACCCGCACGACCACTCGGACCACTAACACAGCGACCGCCCGACTTACCGGAGCAGCCACAATGGACGCAAAGCAAACGGCACTCAAGATCAAGTACAAGGGCGAGCTGCATCGTCTGCGCGTGGACCTCACGTCGTTTTCGCTCGAGGCGCTGACGGCGCTGTTCGCCGAGACGTTCAACTTGGCGCCTGGCAGCTTTGTCGTGCAGTACACGGACGCCGAGGGCGACTGTCTGAATGTGACGTCGCAAGCCGAGTACGAGGAGGCGTGTCGCGTGCTGTCGATGGACGGAGCGAGTGCGACGTCGGTGCGCTTTGAGGCGGTGAGTCGCGCGGCTGTGGCGTTCCAGGAGAACGTAGCGGCCCCGATCCTCAAGGCCATTGAGAAGCTGGTGGAGACGCTGAATGTGGCCATGGACAAGGTGAAGCACGAGGAGTGGGCCGACAAGGCGCAGCAGACGGCGCAGACGGGGCTGGACCAGACGAACGAGGCGCTCAAGGCCGTGGTGCACGACGCGCGCGAGACGCTGCACGCGGCGCGCCTGAGCCTTCAGGAGATCCCGTTTGACCAGCTGATGAAGGAGACGACGGACGGCCTCAAGTGCGCGGCCGAGGGCATTGGTGAGTTTGCGAAGGAGGTGGTGGACGAGTTGAAGAATATGAAGGTGGCGCCGGCCCAGGCGGAAGTGGCTCCCGTCCCGGAGGCACCTCAGCCGACGGCCGAGACTGTGGCCGTGGAGTCGGTGGACGCCCCTGCAGCTGTGGCGAGCGACAGCGAGTGGGAGCAGGTGACGGAGCAGGACCAGACGTCGGTTGCCGTGGAAGAGATCCCGGTCGTTGTTGAGCCGGTCGTAGTGGAGCCGGTGGTTGTTGCCGAGCCGGTCGTTGTTGCTGCGCCGGTCGTTGTGGAGCCAGTGACTACTGCGCCAACGGAGGACGAGATCAAGTGGTCGGAGGAGCTGTTTATGGTGCGCAACATCTTTCCTGGCGTGGAGACGAGCGCCGTTGTCAGCCGTCTGGAGCAGTGCAACGGCAACGTGCTGGTGGTGCTGAACGCGTTGATGGAGGAGATGTAGGCGACTTGCGCGAAGAAGGACGTTGTCTTTTTCGACGTAGAGAGAGGTAACGAAGCGTGAGATTGTGCTCTAGTGCAAAGAGTGGGCCGTCGGCGGACGACTGTTTGCCGACGAGCGTAGCTGTTGGAATCGCAGAAAAAGGAACTAGACGCAACCTGATTGTATACGATAAAAAGTGTGTTGTGCCGGAACGTTGTGCGTGTGACAAGCGCCAGTTTGGTGTCAGTCAGTGTCTGTCCACCACGAGGGAGCGAGCGATTCGTTGAAGAAGACGGGAAGGGCGCACCCGAATGTCGTGGCAGCGAAGAGACCAGCGGAGTCAGCACTCTGACTACGGCGTCGATTACGTCCGTCGCTTGACGACGAGCGATTGTCGTCGTTGGTGACACGCCGCTGCCATCATCTTTGGTCCGAGTATTTCGCGGAAAACTCATTCGCGCCAGTTGGAGCCACAGACCGCTCGATCGTACCGGCAGGTGATCACGCGGGTGCATTGACGTTGCGGGTGTCTCGAGTAGCGACTGAACTGAAGTCGATCGCACGTAGCGTTGATGGGTGCAACGCATCACCCAGTAAGACGTCGACATGTTTGTGTACGGCGTGTCCAACTTCCATCAACTGCCTCCACGCGCCCCTTCTGCGACTTGGCCCGTGCCAGAGCTTCCGTCGACGCGTGAGAACAGAAGCTGCCACCGTTTCGCCGTCGCAGTGACGTCGGTGTCGCAGTGCTCTGGTACTTCCGAAACTTGCGCGAAACTCTGTTGTCATCGCCGCCTTTTTGGAAGTAGACGAAGGAGATACATGCGATGTAGCGGGTTTTCGTCAGGCGGCTTTGACACGTCCGTCGCACTGATACGTTCCTCATGCCGCACTGTCGTATCTCGATGCACAGCCGCTGTGCAGCTGTTGGACCCTTATGTGCGGAAATGAAACAGCAAGAACCTGTGGACGATGATGTACGTAGCCCAGCTACCACGTAGATCAAGCGCTCCTGCTCGAACATGCTTGCGCTTAGGCTCCATGAAGACTGCTGATTAACGAGTGCAGCTCGTTTCTTGCTGCAAACGCTGCATCGACATGTCCCCGTACTTGCGTTACAAGCGCATATTCGATTCATCTTACCGACGGTAGGCGGTCCGCGGTTCAAAGGTCTTAGTCGATGACCATCTGCACGTTTATCCTGTCGAAAGGTCGTGAACATGTCGCTTGCAAACTTCGCTCCATTGCGCTCGCTAAGGTCCAGAATGGCTCGACTGACAGAGCATGCGAAGCACGTGTACCACAAGCAACTTGGCCGTGCAGCAACAGGACGAACGACAGTATGCGAACCATGACTACTCACTGACGCAACCACAATGTCCGCTCACTTCACATCGACCGCCATCCACAACTAGACATGACTTGCCACTTTGTGCCGGAGCTTCTGCATCACGAAAGCGCTTCCCCTCCAACCTGTCTCAAAGCAATTTGTTCTTCGTTGAACACTGTAATGGTGGCATACATTGCAGTCTTACATTTCAACTTGACTGTGGACGGTCGAAAGGTGTTGTGGATCCACCGACATTGACGTAAGCTCATCCTCCAAGATTCTACGATTGGACACGTCCTTGCTTGCGAGCAAATACACATCGAGCACTTTCACTTCTAGCGATCCAGTCATCCGCCAGTGCCTGCAGCATTGCACATCGAAGCGTCTCGCCGGAGACGTGGTCAAGATGGCGCACGGAAATGCGCGCATACATGTAGCCAGTGATACGTGCTGATGTCGGGGTGTCCAGTAGAGCGCCAGAAAATTCGTGTGTGCATTTGGCCAGCTCCGCTCATTGTCAGCATAGATGCTCAGGATGAGCAGCTGACTAACTGCAAGTAGCAGCGGGTATGAAGTCGTGAAATCCCATCAGAGATGGAAGGCGTTAAAAAGAGACACCTCGTATCTGGCTGAATACAAATTGTACGCTGGCAGGCAGTGCAAATTAGTCTGTGGACGAGGCCGTTCTGGAATGTTTTGCGCATTGTAAACGTGTCAGCGGCAAAGGCTGCAGATGCAATGAGATAGCTGCTTTGCGGCCGTCAAGCCAATGAAGAGGCCCGTGGCGGCGAGCCGAAACGTGTCTAACACGAGCGTGTGAGCAAAGTGTGTATATCATGCGATCTCACTTATTACAAAGGCGTCCACACCTCCGTCCTACTGGATTGTTAGAGCGGTGAGATTTTGGAATCGCCTTTGCTTTAGCACAGCGACCTGCAACATTGGTCAGAATTCGGTTGTGTACAACACTGACTTCTTGTGCGGCCAAGATGCATGCCGAGTAAGAATTGCGACCATCACACTCGCTCATAGAACATTCGCACGCTTTATACGTCTCATATGATCATTACATGGCCACCTGACCACCAAGTGGCAATAATCTTCACTATGAGATGGTGCCAGCTTACCAATAGGATCGTAGTCTCTGAGCCAGTGTTATTAAGAATGACGTCATACTTGTCATCCTCTTCGATCATAAGGGACCAGCGGTCTTACTGCATCAATTTGTATACGTACAGCATAACCCCAAGACATATGTCTCAACTATTGCGGAGGGGGGGCGCGTTAATCATTTCCAACTGAAATACTACCTATGTCCAACTCAATCTCCAGCTACACAAATACATATAATCAGTTGTTTTTTGGTCGTAATTTGTGTTCGTCTTGACAGATGATGGCTAAACGACAGCGGTACATAGCACCGCGTCTTGCGATCAATACAAACGTATCATACATTTAAAGGCGACAGTACTCCCCCCCACACCATCGCTAAACATCACGCCTTAGCGTTTGGAAATATACATCAAGAAATCCAAGCCAAAGTACTGCACTGACGTACGACAAGTTCGAACCAAGGTGCTGCACTACGTAAGACAGGTTCGGGCCATGGAGCTGCACTGACGTAATACAGATTCGAGCTAGGTACGTGCTGAAAGCTTACTGTGTACCTTCATTTGTTCCTATCGCGAGTTATAAAGCCACTGATTTCAGATTTCTAGATGTAGAACCGTCAGCAAGACAAAGACTGCTCGATTACGTATCCCCAGAAGTCCGAGGTTGATGGCAACATGCGACCTGACGTGTCGAATATACGTAGAAAGTCGATACTATGTGTGGTCACTACTGAAGAGAAGGACAGTAGCAAATCTGAAGGGCATGGTAGGAAATTAGGTCAGACTCAAGAATTATTTACGTTGCTCATGGTAACGACAGCAAGTCGAGTCTAACTATTTGGAGAGTGAAGTGCAAGTTTTCTTCGACTCCGATCAAGCGATTATTGCAGATACACCTCATTTATCTGATACGGAGTCAGAGAGGAAAGCGGAACCGGACACGTTGGCCTCCCATGAATCGCCTTCCAAAATGCACGAAAGAGTGGCCGACAAGCTGCACGACTATTTTGAAGAACACAGTTTTGTAAGTCGCGACGCTGCTTTTGAAGCTCTTATCGGGGAATTTGGTCATAGAAGCTTCTTGCCTAAGATTAAGAAGCGACATAATCAGAACAGAGCGGCAGATGTAGTCAGCAACCGGACAGGAAAGTTGTTTCGAAAGACTTGGTTTATCATCTGTCGCAATGCTAGATCCGGCAGCAAGGATCGCGTCAATAAAAGAAACACCCGGAGTCGTTCAACAGGTTGCAAATGGTCTTGCCGTATCGGCCTGTAGGGTATCGCTTACCAGATTACCGTGGATGGACTGCACAATTACCCCCAGCAGATAATATATGCCATTATCCCAGTGCTCGTCACGCTACCATGGAACAGAACGCTTTCGTAATGGATATTAAAATACCGGACAAGTACCTCATCGATACTAGAGAACCTCGAGGCCAAGTATGATGGAGGGTGCAGACTGATAGCAAGGGACATCGTGAATATGCGTCAAACGTATCGTCAAACGCAGAGATGTATAATGCCTGAAATTAAGGCTCTGGTACGAGATCTTCATGATGATGGTGCTATATTCAAGACAAAAATTTCGTTGGAGTCTCATATTACTCACTTCCTTGTAATTCCGAAAGCATCTCTCAGCTGCTTATGAAGAACGCCGCGCCGCCGTGGCACAAATTGACGAAACATACCGAACGAAAAAATATGGAGCAGGTATGCTTCATGTGATTTTATCAACCAGTACAAATATTACGTACACATTGGCACTTTTTTCTGCAGAGCGCAACACAAGTGAAATTGACATGGATACTCGAGTCTCTATTGATACATAGCAATATAATTAATCCCGGTGTAATTATTATCGATGCTGATCTAGTCTTGATGAATGCTATTGGTCCAGTGTTTTTAGGAGCCCACCACCAACTTTGTTTTTGGCATATTCAAAGCAATATTAAGGCCCGCCACCCAAGAGATTTTTCTTCAATAGAGGTAGAGGGGCATCCAGTGGTTGTTTGCTGTGTTCTTGAAGATGTGGTCGAGTTTAGTCTTGGATATAAACATCAAGATCAATTTGAAGAAGTGTGGCGTGATATAAGAGGCCAGGGGCAAATTCCGAGAGTGTGTCATGAACACATTGAACAAAGCATGTTATGCCCCATTAAATGATTAGTTTTGTGCTGCTTGGCTGTTGGGAGTCAAGCATTTTGAGCAGATTTACTCATCCAAAGTTCAAAGTGCAAATGCAGCATTTAAAAAGACATTGGGAACTTCACAAATGAGTTTCTTCTCCGTTTATCCTTTCATGAAGCTTGTCTGCAAAAAATACAACACGATTGCGTCAAATTTGCGTGATTGCGGGACAAAGCATTTCTTCCTACTGTTCAAGAACATATGTTTGTGGATGTTTACAAGAAGGTATATGCCTACGCGATCGGTATCATGTTGAAGCAGCTCGGCCTCGCCAAGTCAGTACGATTATTACCTCTTGAGTGTGATGTTCAAGGGTGCCCCGACTTTTGTATGAGCAACTTTAATCTTCCTTATCAGCGTGATTTCCTCTGCATTTTAATTACCGATGG